TAATGATTTAAATACACTCAAGTCTAGAGGCTGCAATACATGACTCGTATGTGGAGGTAGTTTCAATATAGTTATGTCGTTTGCAATGGCAATTTGAATCACATATAACTAATACTGGACGATCTGGAGGCAACTGACTTATGAAGCTTTTTGCAAAATAGTTTTTAAAAACATTTGTCTCCATCTAGCCATTTGGACTGACTGCGTATGTAGTATTTGGGAATTCGGTTCCAAATGGTGCTAATTACTGGCCCCATACATGTTTCCCCTTAAAAATTATTAGAAATGGAGCCTTCTTTCCACTTGCACAGTGTTTTGTTTACCGGGCTCACTCGTCGTACGGATTGATGCAAGTCCTCTTTGCCCAAGTCTTAGACGGGTCGAAACTGTTCTCATCCATGTTCCAAATCTGACAAGGTCTGTTTTCCAATCCAAGCTCCTTTACGGTTTTGTCTAATAAGTCAAAGTATTCGTTAATCAAAAATGGATCCATGTTCTTTTTTCTGGCAAATTCAACACTTTTTGTTGATTGTGTCGACGTTTAAAAACTTGTCTTCTGATGGACGCCCATTTTTTAATTGAGTTTTTATCTGATTTATTTGAACGTAACCAACTGTAACAGCTCTTTTCTGGTCAAACCGAATCCCCTATTTTACAAGCAGCGAATACAATCAGCCAATGACTTCTCTCGTTCATAACTAACGTCGGTTTTTCGCCCGTATGTACTGCTCTTTTGGCCCCTTCGACCTTTAACATTTATATTTTATATTATATATTATATTTATATTATTATTATTTATATATATTTATATTATTTTATATATTATTTATAGGGATATTGTATACCGCGCTTGCGTCGTATGCTGTCATAGTACCATTTCTAGCATAATTCACGACTAACTTAAGGGTTTCAGCAGAATATCCAGCTCCTCGTCTACTTTAACTTTTGTGTTTATATAAGGTTAAAACCGCCTTAGTCCTATCTGATTATCTGGTTGCCTAAAAACCTATTTACTCGGGCAAACATTTCTCATCAGTATTATTGTGCAGTCGTTATCTAAAATAACATGTCAACGGTGTTAATCCTAGCGTGCATAGACAATATTATTTCACGGTAGACAGTCGGATGCAGATTAAATTTGACGTAAAGACCGTATTATCAATCGACCATGAACTGTCAGTTACTTTAAATATAAATTCCAGGATTTAGAAAATAGTGAGACCTAATAAATTGATTTGGCGCTGGTTAAAATACTCATATTCAAAGGCAATAAGAATTGTCTCTTGATAATATTTTAATTGGTAACTTTTTTGCTTTTAGAGATATGAAAGTAAAAGAAAAAACAATGTAGAATTAGTAGCCAAGTTTTTTTCGCAAGTGACGTATAAAACAAAACACTATCAATTTTCTGACATATAAGCCCACATCATATTTTTTATTGAAACACCCTGTATATTATATATGTGTTTAATAAAATATCACACTTTATATTTTAGTAAACTTTTTTTGGCAAATAGTCAAAAATAGGAAATTTTTGTACAATTTCAAAGAGTGCCGTGACTGACTGCAACAACAATAATTATTTACAAATTAAAGTATAACAAAAACAAAAAAAATGACAAGACACACTAAAGTAAAAAATTCTTTAACTATTCTAACTACTGCTCTATGTGACCACCATTTTCCTGAATAAGTTTTTCATACTCTCTAATTGTCTGATGTTTTGCATCTAGTAACGTTTCCGGATTGTCTCTTAACTGATTGATTGCTTCTGAAATCCTTTGCGTAAGTTCCACGGCATTACTACACGGAGTTCTGTGCAAGTGGTTTTTTATGTATCCCCAAAAGAAAAAAATCATTAAAGTTATGTCGGACCTGTTGGCTGGCCAATCCATAGTTCCGCCGTTCCCTATCCAACCAATGGGATATTCCATGTTAAGAAAATTTTAAATTTGTTCAACATTGTGAGGAGGGGGAACCATCTCGCTGCAATATGGTACAATTAGGACTAAATTTTCTATATATTGTTCTATTTGGTGCTCTAATGATCTCCAGTTAACTTTTGATTTATAAATATCGGACCCAAAATATGCCCATCTATGACACCGCACCATACATTATTCATTGGTGCCCATGGGTTTTTATTTCGTGTTTTTGTGTAGGATTATTTAAAGACTAATATCACGTATTCCATTTAAAAAATCCAAACAAAACTGCATCTTTCTTTGACATTGTTCTGCACTTTGTTTTCGAGCTTTATGAATTTTAAATGCATTATATTTATATTCTTTCAAGACTGAGTTCATTGATCCCCTAGATGGATGTGCTGCATAGAATCCTATTACGTTTGCCTTATTTTCTTCATTTAAAACATTATGATTCCGGTATAGCTTCTTAGCATTTAATGCGTTACCATTTTCTGCAAATTTCTTTGCCAGTCTGACGACGAGCTGCGGTTGCACTTTTATTATTCAGAAAGTATACCTGAACTATATCACTCCTACCACGGAAGCTAAATTTCCACAATTTTAACAATAATAACTTATTATTAAATTATATAAAACATTTCAAAAACGAATGGACTAAAATATAAAGTGTATTACATCATTGTAATCGGAATAAGATATTCTATTAAACACATGTATAATATACAGGGAGTTCCATTAAGAAAATTGATAGTGTTTAGTTTTATACGTCTCTTGGAAAAAAACTTGGCTACTAACGCTACATTTCGTTTTTTTTGTTTAACTTGATATCTCTAAAAACAAAACATTTACAGCCAATTAACACGTTTTCAAGATAAATACAAAGCACGGTCCCGTGTGTTTTTACTGATAATAAGATTTAAAATACTGAACCACTCTGACAGAATATATAAGTATTAAATTAATAAAAACGTATTACAAATATTAGAAGGAACAATAAAAAACGAAAATGGTTCTCTCTAGACCAATGGTTTTATGAGGTTTTGGAATAGTACTTTCAAAATAAATAGTTTTATATGACTCAATGCGCCTATGCTCACGCATGGGGCAGTGGCATGGTGGCCGGGGACTAAAAGAGCGGGAGCAAGGCTAGTTCTTGACAAATTGCAGAGATTGGCTTGCCTCTGCATAACGGGCGCCATGAGAACGGCGCCCACGAGGGCCCTAGAGGCTCTGGTGGGGTTGCCCTCTCTGGCGGATCGGGTGCAGATGGAGGCGGCCAGGACAGCTGCGAGGCTGGCGAGTTGCGGGCTCTGGAGGGAGGGAACCTTCAATCGGGGTCCGTACGACATTTTAGAGGGCGGTTGCGGGGATCGCGGGGTCATGGGCATGCCGAGTGACGTCATGATCCCCGAGATGGCCTTCTTTGACAAATTGACCTTTCTCTTCCCATCAAGGGAACAGTGGAAAGAGGGCAGAGTCGGCTCCTGGGATGGAATTGTCTGGTACACGGACGGGTCCAGAATGGGAGATTTGGCCGGAGCTAGAGCGTAATGCGAGACAACGGGATCGAGCTTGTCGGCCCCTTTGGGTCAGTACTGCACTTGTGTTTCAGGCGGAAATTTTCGCTTTATTGATGGCGGCCAGAGAGGTGCTTCGGCTCAACCACGGAAACAGGAGGGTCTTCTTCTGCTAGTGCAGTAGGGCTGCACTTATGGCGCTGAAGTCAGTGCGTACGCGCTCCTTGTTGATAAAGGAGTGCAAAGGGGTACTGAGGAGAGTGGCTGAGAAGAGGAAGGTCACGTTGGTCTGGGTCCCGGGTCACACCGGTATCCGGGGCAATGAGGCAGCGGACGCCTTAGCCAGAGAGGGCTCCTCGGATAGGCATATAGGGCCAGAGCCCCGCTAGGGGATCGCCCCGTGTGTGAGGCGGAGAGCTCTCGAAGCCTGGATGAGAGAACGGGCCGCGGAGGGCTGGAGAGTTGCTCCGGGAATGAGGCAGGCGAGGTTTATGATGGATGGGCCCGCCCTCCCTCGGACCAGGGAACTGCTTAGACTGACCAGAAGGGAGTGTAGAGCACTAACAGGGCCTACACAGGACATTGCAGGCTTAGGAGGCATCTTTGCTTGCTAGGCATTGGATACGACCCGGAGTGTAGGTGGTGCATGGAAGAGGAGCAGACCCCGTATCATCTGCTCACCGAGTGCCCTGCCTTGACATGGGCAAGATTGGAAGTCTTCGGAACGGCCCTGATCGATCCGGACTCAGTGCACGGTATTGGACTAAAGGAGTTGCTGACCTTCTACAGGAGGGGCGGCATTCGTTTAGCAAATTTGATTATAGATTTAACAATTAAATTACTCATGAAATTATTTATTTTTCAGAAACGTTCGCACCATCATGGAGTTGGTTGCGAAATTTGCAAATGCAAATATAATATTATATATAAGGGATTTCAATGTGTTCATTGTTTATATAATTGGCGCTTAGAAATGTTTGACGAAGATTGACATAGCATGAATATTCGCACATTTCATTTTTCAGTAAGTTACAAATAGAACATATTTTATGATATAGCATAATTTATGTAATGTTCTGACATGTTAGTTGAAATATTTTTCAGTAGATGTTCTGAGCTGCGCTATTATTCTTATTATTAAGAATGGAAGCTTTTGCAATAGATATTTTGAAAAAGTTTGATTAAGTCAATAGGAGGGAATAATGGAAATGTCGATCTTGAGAGAATGTCAGTGTGGCTCCGAATAAGGTGGTTCCTAAACTTTTCAGGTAATGGTTCAAACATGTCAACATTCTCACTTTTATTGATATATTTTTTTAATTAGGAGATCCAATTATATTTATCTTGACTTAGGTATTAGTTTCACGTGTAATTTTTGGGAGACAAAGAAGCTGTTTGAAAAAACCAATCTGTACTCTCTCGACAACATCATCACATCTCTATCTCTAGTATATAAGGTCCTACCGTTTAGATTGTTTGGCGAAACCAAAGTGCATAAGCATTGTTTATATTGAAGTTGATAATTTTCTAAGTCGCACCAATTTTTTCCACAGAGCGTTCTGATATGCCACTATTACAATATTTTATTGCTCGCAAGACGTTTTACATCACAATGTACAGATTATTTTCGAAACATATTTTGTGCTATAGATTATTTATTGAAGAATTTACAATTTCGTCATGAAAATGTATTTAGTTTCTCAAGCCCAAATACGTCGCCTTAGACGCCGCTGTTTTGTTGGATCCAACTCCTGAAAGCGGATACTCTTGCGTAAGCGGTAGGGAATCCAGCGGAGCAAACGTTGTTTCCGAAGGACACAACGCCGACCTGGACACCGTTGACAGTCAACGGGCCGCCAGAGTCCCCATTGCAGGCACCTACGTTGCCGACACCTGAGGTGCAGATGTGGTGGGCCAGGATGTTGGACCAGGTGCTACTGCATAACGTGTTGGAGATAACGTTCAAGTTGATGCGTCTAAGAACTGGTGAGATAGCGTTGCTGGAGTCGGAGGTCCTTCCTGGTGTGAAAAAGACTCTAATTAATATTCGATACCTGGCATTGTTCTGAACTTTTGTATAGAGTGGACACCAAATTTATTTCGTCTAAGACTGTCCCATAGGAATAACTCAGAACTTTTCAACTTTCAAATGCTCGTTGACATTTTTCATTTAGATAATTATCGTCAAATTGATATAGTTCCATTTTCAATGAATAGTTTAACAGTATTTTTGAAAACAAGAAAGTATTTTTTACATAGACCACAACCACAAAAAATTGGCTTAAAATTGTCGGTGACCTTTACCATTGTGTTTTTCAATAAAATTCTATCTAATAAACAGGGCAGTTCGCCATAATTTTTGCAACCTCTGAATTCTTGCTCAAAAATTGCACAAAACGTTGGGCAGCTTTAAAATGAGTTGCTAAAAGTTTAAGAATGGAACAGATTTCTCCTAAACACCCATCAAAACCGTTTTGGTTAGTTAGTAATATCGTTTTTCTGGTGAAGCTAAATTATTAGGTATTCTTGGCTCTCAAACCTTTCTTCTCTTCCAAACTTTAATTTCGAAATGAAACGTGCAAATTTAAGTTAACTTCTTTTAAGATGAACAAGTCTGTTGGCCTTTGGTATTTGTTTAATGTTTGCTGCCTTGATAAATAATTGGGATCTAATTTTTAAAGGAAGTACAATCTATTTTTTTTGTAAATGTCAATTTAAAAGTGTGTGTATTTTGATTTAGTAATTTTTCTTCTTTTTATTGACCTGCTTGAGGAATTGTATTCGGTAGTAAAATTGTATTTAGCATTCATCAATCAAAATACGACAAATCGCCCAAAATCGAAGAGACTTGATTTCATACGCGAAAGGTTTCAAAAATTATTGTTATGTTTGTTTTGACGACCGATCATAAGAACTATAAATAATTTTATAATGGAATAAAATTATATATTTAACACACACGACACAAATTGAAATGATTTCAACGAGATCTAACAATCTAAACAATATTAAAGAAGTCAGATCAACGTAGAAAAGTGATAGGTCTCTTTCTACACTTACAAACTAAAAACTTTTGACACTGTGGCGCATCCAGTTCTGCTTCAAGGACTGGAGCATTAGAGGAACATTTAACAATTTAATTAAATCATATTGGGAAAGAAAGCTAAAATTTGACTATCAGAGGGGAGTAGACTTTGGTGTGCCACAGGGTATAGTGCTTTCAACACTCATCTTGAATACATACATGGATGTCATATCTGCATTTGTTTTTGTGATATAATTGGGAGAAAACAAAAATTCCAGCAGAGATTGGTCTACAAGAAATAAAAAGATGGCTGGAAATTAATTATATTACGGGTAAAATAGGGTATTTATTATCAAAATTGTAAGAATTCCATTCTTAAATTTATAAAAACAGTATACGGTGCACTGCTTTTGCGGCGTTGTTTTTGAATCTTCAGCTGGTATGACAATTTTAAATAAACTTCAAATAGTGTAAAAATACATTATTAAAGTTATGTTATTCAAAAATAAAAGGTATCGGTCAGAGTTACCTATCATAACCAATGATGATAAAGATTTTTCATTATAAACGTATTATTAATAATGGATAAAATACAAGATACAGATCCTCAACCTATCAATTGGATATTTATTATTTAGCTTCGAGAGATTTTAGTAGTTTTCCTAACAATATTAGAACATTAAAATGAATACTGCAAAGTTTCTTTAGGATCAATTTAAGAATTTGAAAAAATTAATAATTCCTAATAATTATACTTTTACAATTCTTTAGCATTTGATATTTATTTATGTATGCATGTGAGTGGATTTTCTTCTTTTTATTTGTATTCTTGCTAGTCTTCTAGAAAACTTACCTTAAATATGAAATTGCACACCTTAGAAGAATCATGTAATTTGCTGTATATATGGATTATAATACTTTTTAAAAACATATTTGTACTGTTGCTGCTACGATTAATAAATCAATTATCATAGTTGAAGTTACTTACCCCAACCAGCAAGTACGGCAGTGCTGCCGGAATAAGCGGGAGCGTTTGAAGCAGCCAAAGGAACGATCTGGACGACGCTGCTGGTGCTAACAGATGGAATTTGGATCAACGAAATGTCGTTGTGCAAATTGAACTGGTTGTAGGAGGCATGGTTGCGCACAGCGTTGGCGTTGCGTACTACTTGGGTGGCTTCGTTGGAGTTGACGTTGTGAGCGCCGAGGATAACTTGAATTCTGTTAGCGCTGACGGTACAATGAGCAGCAGATAGTACCCAGGTGTTGGAGATGAGGGAACCTCCGCAGAAACTTCCGCCGTTAATGATGAGAGCCACGATGTACGGAATAGAGTTGGGAGTGGCGATCTGTCCGTTGATGATGCGGCTTCCGGGGGCGTTGCCCTGAGGGGCGGGACCGTCGGGTACACGGTAGATGTTGAGGGGTTTGAGGTTTGCCCAGTCGAACTGTAAAGAGAAAAAAAAATGTTGTCTCTATCGACCCCTTCGTACACTGAATTTTTGTTTATTGTTTGTTATTGTTGTTGTTTATTATTATTATTTATTATTACTCTTTTTTCGCGAAATGCTTTGTATTTAGTTTTCTCAGCCTCTAAAACCTAAAGTGCACGTTTGGTCAAATTTTGGCTTCGCAGCATTTTCAATAAAGCAAATGTTTCACATTTTTGTTATGCTATTTTGGGCGGGTGAGTACAGTCTCATTGAAAATTAGTTTAAGGTAATAATTTTCACCAAAATTTCACATTCAAAAAAAGATGTTTCCTTATCACCGCTTACTAATTCCGGTAAAAATTACAAAATCGATTATTACAAATTCGATTAACACAATAGTTAATAGATATATCGGACTATATTAAACTGTAGATAGTTGATAATACTTTGTTTTGCTTTACTTACATGGAAACTAAATCTCTTCTTGGCGGTGATAAATTTTAGTATTTAATTGTTATCTTTTCAAATTGTTTACGAGTATGATTTTAGTAACAGACGTTTTCCATTGGAAATCTTTATTGAAGAAAACAATAAAAAACAAGTTGGTAATAATTAAACCATGAAATTGAGGATGAGAAAAGTGTTAAATTACTTGTTTTTTCTTTATCTTAGTCCATACATGTTTCGAACATGTCAAAAAACAAAACAAGTAAACATGCTGCCCTTTGTGGACTTTATTTCGCTAATAATTTTTTTGTTGTATCAAAAAAGAATAAAAAATATCTGAAATTGGTTCGAAAACAGCAAAATTCGTGACTTTGTTGGTAAGGTTGCTATCTAATCATATTTCTCTATTTATCGTAGTGTTGCCGAATTATTGGAAAAAAAAAAGGTTTCTATAGGATCTTTCAATTTTGCAGCCCCCATAATATAAAAAATGAACGTTAGGATAGTGAAGTGCATTACTAAGGGGGTTTGCTAAAGTTTTAAAATACAACATATGTAATTGTGATTAGTTATTGTCCCGGTATAACCTTTGTTATGTTCTCTATACCATACCATTAAAATTTATCCATAATAGTTGTTCTACTTAATAATATACAAAATTAAGTAAGAGTGAAATATAATATGAAAATAATAAGAATTAAATATTAATTTAAAATGTTATTTACTTGAAAATAATACAGTTTAGTATTTTAAATTTTTATTTCCCATAGAATATAATTAAAATTAAACCAAATCAAGTAAAAACAAATCTACTGAACATTTTAAATTTATTTAGCATTTTAATGCATATTTTGTATAGTTCTGTGAATGAAATTTTGGTTCACCATCACAATATTTGCTAGTGACAAAAATGTATTTTTCAAGCATACTGTATAATTATATCTATAATTTACAATTTAAATGTAAATGTATTGTGTTGTTATTTTTATTACTTTTTGGGTATTGCGTTCATAAAAAAATCATTATTTGTTAAGTTTCTAGTTATTATTAATTACAAATATATACTTACATCCAACAACAATTCCCTTTCTTGCTCTGCTGGCGCCGCAAGGCTGCAGGCCAATAGACTCAAGAAGCACAGGGCAAACTTCATTTTAGAAAAGATCGCTTTTCTTCTCTGGACGAAAAACGGTTTGTGTTTCGGAGCATTTTTTCTGTAGTTTATATACCAAAAAAAAACGCGATTTGCTAAGACAATTACTAAATTGATTAATTTATAACGGGCTGACAGCGGGGATTTGGAATGTGTCCAATTTAATTGGGTTATAATCCCGGACTGACTACCTTTTTATTATGTTTATTTAGATGTTTTTATTGCGTTAATCTTCACTTTGAAATCGATATATTTTTTAGTTAGTCGTAGAAGCAACTGTTAACCTTTATGTAACAATAGTTATTTCAGTTGCTTTACTTGTTGAAGGATAACAAATGTGAAATAGTGGTTTTTAAAGTGTTGTATGATGGGAACTTTTGCATATTAACTAAAGTTTCGCAAACCTTCTTCCTTATGTTACTATCTATCTATCTTGCCCTCTTCGGTCCATTTTTGAACATAAACCTCCTTCAGCCCTCTTCACTGTTCTCTGTCAATTCATCCATGCGGAGTCAGCAAACCAGTTTATGAATCTTTTGTTCCACCTGTCTTTTGGTCTGTTGTCTTGACCTCTTGACCGTTCATATTGAGCTCACTACCTCCTTTCTTATACATTCGTTTTAGTTTTGATGTACCAGTTTTTTACCTAATATTTGTCTTTCTATTGATCTTTGTGCTTTGGCTATTGTGTTCATGTTTCACTTTGTAAGTGTCCAAATTTGGGATCCGTATATGAGGACAGGGAGTATGCACTGATTTTTAGGTATCTTTTATTTTTTTGTATAAAGTTCAATTTGATTTGTTCTTGCTTTTCTTGTCCTGTATACTAACGTGTTAACCAGTATATATAGAGAAGCCACAATAGTCAAACTTTTTAACCAGGCTCTAAGCGATGTTTTCAAAAAAATAGACTGGGAAGAAAAAGGTATAAGATTATGCCGAACAACCAAAGATACGCGGGTGATACCGCCTTGATAACTAATAAAAGAAAACCACCGGAAATTCTGAAAGAACTGGACACAGTCGCGAAAAATATAAATCTCAATATGAACTAAACCCAAATCAAAATCATAATCAACACAGTTGAAAACATCACTATTAGAATTTAGTGCGTCCTTATTCCAAGTTTCTGGCTGGCAATAATTAAATTAATAGTAGATAATAGATAGCAATAATCAAATCCAGCTCGCCTGATAAAAAAATTGTGTTTATCCTTACAAGATGCTTGAAAGTTGATCAGTCGACTACAGCTAGCCAAGTCAAAGTGTCTGATGTTTCTGCAAGTCCGTCCCTGTAGTTGGTACTTAGTTCGCTGCACTAAGACACATTTTCCCTTCCTCCCATCGAAGAGGTACTGTACCTTATGGGAAGTTAAAATAGTTTTTTTTTCGCTGAGCGATATTCAGTTGGTTAGTTGTATAGGATATTAATCTTCTTGCAAACACAGCTTCCATGTGCTGCCAGAACCCCTGAGTAATTAATTTACCTAGTATACCAAAGTATTAAAGAGCAGCTAGTAGACATCTCAAGATCTTTAGAAAATCTTTATTCCTGTCAGTACAAAAGTTTCACAGGACTGAACCATTTGCAACCTCAAATGTTGTCCGCCCCTGGTTTCAATACACGAGTAGGTCATCAAACACTTGACGCAGGTTTTCTCCAACAAGCATCTCAGTATCTTTTCAAACCTATTCGCGATGGTATCATAACCAATCGAACCACTCAATTAAACCAGAGAACCACTTTTAGGAAATAGACAACAACACTTCTCTTAACAGATTTACTATTCTGCTACCCACCATAGTGCTAGCCATAAGAGCGTTGTAAATATATGCTTTAATGCTTTGGTAGGACAATTACCATTTTGCAATAAGAGATGCAATTTTAAAGTATCTCTTATGGTGGTTTTAACATACATGGGTTTTCTGATTTTTTTTTTCCTTTTTATTTTCATTAGCTTAATTTTTTGGCGCCAAAAAGTGAAATTACATTTGAAAATAGACTATAGACTAAACCCTGATAACTGAAAAGAACCATTTGATTTGCAATGTGGCCGTCATGTTCCTCTAGTCGAAAATACGAACGGTGCAACAAACTGAAGTTTAGATTTCCTCTAGCATGTTCCTAAAATTTAGTTGTTTCCTAGTTCTTCCAACTTTAGGTTGGTGAAAATGCTAGAGAAATTTATGTTAGAAACATTTGTAATGAACGTAATACTAGATTTTAGGATATTGAGCTATAAGAAAAAATATGTTTTTTCACTCGTCCTCTAAGTCGGCTGATTTACAAATAATTTAATTGTAAAATCTGCATCCACTTGAGGGCAAACTTATTTCACGAACTTTCTTTCCTCCGACCACGATTTCAGAGGACGTGCCTACGGCGACTTTTAAGCTTGAATATCCAACTGTCCAACTGTTGTTCAAAAAAACTGACGGGCGCCAGTTTTCGCTTATTTATAAATTCAAGCTTCTCATTACAAAAAAAATATTCTGTGGACGTATAAATTTAAACAATATTTACCTTAATCTGATTTAACTGAAATTTGCAATAAATACCGATTAGGTGACAGATGGTTTAACTTCGCTTATCCCAAAGAGCTTCTCAAAATTACTCGCCATTGTTTAGCTGCCTACTTAACTAATCCAAATTGTTTTCCGGGGGATCGAGAGTAGTAAATTTTCTGCATGAACACGCATTTTTCGAAATTACATGAAGGTATTAACTCGCATTAGTTATTCATTGCGCTGGTTCTAAGAAATTCTTAAAACATAATTTCATCGTTTATGCTAATAATGCTTGGGGGTTATTGGCTTTGTTGCTAATTCATTTTTTAAAGATTATTTTGTATTTTTTGTATTTGCTGATTAGGTAGGTATCATGTATTTAATCTTTTTAATCTTTTTTTGAAGGAGTGTCAAATTGAATAAAAACATAACTTGGTACGTAATGCTAGCAAGTCATGTTTATTGTTTTTTGGTACAAAAATAGAATTTAATAAATTAAATAGGTGCCAGGAAAATTTCCAATTATGGAAGAACTCTTTATGTACCCATGTAGTCCCACCTTTCTGCAGAACTTTAAAGATATTTATTATCTTAGTTTCTTAATATGGCAAGCAGTGGCATGGAATACTATTTATTGAAATATTCATTTTGTTTAGCCGGAAGTTTCACTGAGTGGGAGAACATACTTTATTTAAATATTTCTCCGTTCGGTTTCAAAACACGTTGTTTGTGATATAAATCATACGCATTTTTATATGTGAAGTAACGAAACTGCTATTATTAAAAAAAAATCCAGTTATCTTATTCCTAAAAGTTTTGTAATGTCCTGTACAAAGTCAATTGATTTGTTATTTGAATATTAAGTAACAAGTTTGATTAGCTCGGTTTTAGTCACTTGAATGTGCGTTGTACCTCCCTTCTATACAAAAAAATCAAATCAACACGTTTAAAGCTGTAGAGGTGAGTGGGTGGGTAAATACTTCATATAGATAGATAGCCCCAATCAGGATTTGTACAATTTTTATAAGGACAATATTTTAAACGACAGAACGGATCAATTTAAGTTTGTACTGTCTTCGAAAGCCAACATCTAAAAAAATATTAAATCGAAAGCTGCTGGGCATGATGTCCACATATTGTACCATACTAGTGTACTAGTGTATCTCAAATTCATACTTTCCGTCAGCAAGTTATCTCCCGGCCAAAAATAAATAATCCAAGCGAATTTAATTTGAAATTGGCATATTACCTGTTATATCAAAACTACTTAAAAGGATTTTGAACAAACAAATGCTAAAATTTGTAAATTTAAATCATATTCTACCTTAAAAAGAATCCGGTTTTAGACCTGATCATAGCTGTGAGGGCGCCATGTTAGACATTACCGATGATATTTGAAAGGCAACCGATGATATTAATATTTTCGAACTTCAGTAATTATATATTACCTACTTCTTTGGGCCATTTTATATTACGTTAGCTTCTCCGAGAGTCCTTGAAAAGTTTTCGGTTAATTTTTGTCTGGCCGGACGTAGCGGGTTGTTTAATCAACAGCAGTCATCGTCCCACAGGGTGGTGAATTGTTGTATACTGTTTTCACCTTTAACTTTATGGGTGCCCTCTATTACTGTAACTGTCGTTTTTATGCGGATAACACTCAAATTTATTATTCATTTTTCCCCCTAAAGCTAAACCGGAAAAATCTTCAGTAAAATTCTTTGGAAATAATAATCACCTAACCCATGTAATGAATAGCATAACAATTAAACTTAATAACATAAATTCGCCATTTTCTGAATCATATAAAGGCTTGGATCTCACTCTTGATTCACGGTTGCGGTTCAGAAAACATATTACCAATAAACTTCTTCTTCTTCTTTAAGTGCCGTCTTCGTTGCAAAGGTTGGCAATCATCAGTGCTATTCGTATTCGTGACACAGCCGACCGAAATAGTTGGTTTGTGGTGCACCCGGACCAGTCGCATAAGTTTCTCATCCATGAGTGACGCCTTCTTCCTACAGTCCTCTTTCCTTGAATTTTTCCTTGTAATATCAGTTGGAGTAGTTGGTACTTTTCTCCTCTCATGACGTGTCCAAGGTACTGAAGTTTACGCTTTTTTACCGTAATGATAATTTCTTTTTCCTTTTTTATTCTTTTCAGGATTTCCATGTTGGTCACTTTATCGGTCCATTTTACCTTAAGTATTCTACGGTACAACCACATTTCGAACGCCTCCAATTTCCTTATGTCCAGTTTCTTCAGAATCCAAGCCTCTACACCATAGTACAGTACCGACAAAACATAGCATCGCACCATTCTGATTTTTAAATCCAAGCTGAGATCGCTGCCACAGAGCACTCTTTTCATTTTCACAAATGTTGTTTTCGCCTGTCCTATTCTAGTTTTGATTTCTTCAGAGCAGTCGTTATTTTTATTTACAATTGTACCTAAGTATTTATAACTGTCAACTTTTTCTATGGAGTGGTTATTTATATGAATTTGTGAATTGTTTTGTGCTGTTTTTGATATTATCATAAATTTTGTCTTTTTTACGTTTAGTGACATTCCGAACTCTTCACTCGATGTATTAACTTTGTCTACTGCAATCTGTAATTCGTTTAGGTTGGTAGCTATCAGGATCGTATGATCCGCATATCTTATATTGTTGATAGGCGCTCCGTTAATTTTTAGTCCTTTCGTTTCATCGTCCAATGCTCGTTTCATTATTTCCTCTGAGTAAAGGTTAAATAACATCGGTGATAGCACGCACCCCTGCCTAACGAGTGGACGGATTTCTATTTCTTCGGTGTTATTCCCTTCTATTTTTACCACTGCTTTTTGATTAAAATAAAGATTCGTAATAATTTTTATATCTCTGGTGTCTAAGTTCTTCTCTTTCAGAAGCTGGATAAGTTGTTCGTGTCGGACCCTATCGAAGGCTTTGTTGTAATCAATGAAACATATATAAGGATCCTGATTCATATCCATACATCGTTGGGCGAGAACGTTCAATGCAAATATTGCTTCTCTTGTGCCTAAGCCACCTCGGCAACCGAATCGAGTCTCGCTGATATCTTGTTCTAATGTTTTGTATATCCTGTGATGTATCACTTTCAGAAATATTTTTAGCGTATGACTCATTAGACTGATTGTTCGAAAGTCTGTGCATTGCCTTGCATTATGTTTTTTTTGGGATAGTGACGAACGCTGATAGCAACCATTCCCTGGGTATAATACCTGTTTTGTATATGGTGTTGAACAGATCTGTTAGACTGTGTATGTTTTCCTCTTCTATCAATTTGAGAATTTCAGAGGGTAACTCATCAGGCCCTGCAGCTTTTCCATCTTTTGTGATTTTTATAGCATGGATGACCTCTTCTTTAGTTATTTCCGGTCCACTGTTTTCTTATTCTGTTACTATTCTGTTTATATCTCTCTCATCATCGAATAATTCTGTTATGTAATTCTTCCATGTTCTTAGTTTTTCTTCCATTTCCATAATAATTTTGCCATTCTGGTCAGTGAGTATTGACGGTTGTCTTTTTTTCTGTAAACCTGCCAGTTCTTTTACTTTCTTGTGGACATTGAAGCTGTCGTGCTTTTCTTGAAGGGCTTCTATTTCGTCGCATTTTCTTTTGTAGAATACCTCTTTTGCTTCTCTTATCTGTGATCGGATTTCTTTCTGAATATTCTTATATGCTTCGTTGTTGTCTTTTACACCACGTCGTTCGTTAATCAAAATTTCTGGAGTCATCTATTCCTGTTTTTTCCCTATTTTCTGCTTTGTCAGAATGGTCTTGCTCGGCTCAATTAATGCATTTTTTAAATCTTTACATTGTTTGTCCGTGTCTTTTTCCGCTGTTATTTGATTGTTTTTGAGGGTTCTGAGATTGTCATTGATCTTATTTTGTAGCCTTTGTCTTGTTTCTTGAATTTTTAGACCCGATACGTCTATACAATTTGTTGTTGGTATTACTCGTTGTTTTTTAAGTGTTATTAAAAACCGGGCTATTAGTGGATTATGGTCCGATGAGACATCTGCCTCTGGGTAGGTTTTAACTGATTTGATTACATTCCTATATCTGTGGTCTATCAAGATGTAGTCAATTTGGTTTCTGACTATATTTTGTTTGTTGTCTTGCGGAGATTTCCAGGTGTACAAACGGCGGTTTGGAAGTTTGAAGAACGTATTCGATATAATAAAATCGTTTTCTTGGCAAAATTGCAGCAGTCTATCACCTCTTTCGTTTCTCCTACCAAGTCCATATTCTCCCACATGTTTGTCAAATCTACCTCTGCCAATCTTGGCATTGAAGTCTCCTAATACTAGTGTTATGTCCCTTGATTTTAGAGATTGTATGATGTTATTAATCTCGTTGTAGAATTCATCAATGTCTTCGTCAGATTTATCTGCTGTCGGGGCGAATGTTTGAATTATGTTTAATTTACAATGATACGTTTGAAGTTGGAGTAACATGGCTCGGTCTGATATAGGGGTAAAGTTTATTACTGATTTATTGATTTCTCTGGATACCACGATCGCAACTCCATGTCTATGGTGGGTGTCATCACTTTCTGAGTAATAAATGGTGCCGTTGGCTATTGATTGTTGTCCAGAATTCGGCCATCTAGTGTCACTGATTCCTAGGATGCTTAGATCTAACCTTTGCATCTCCTGGATAACATTATGTATTTTTCCAGGTTCATATAAACTGCGTACATTCCATGTACCAATTCTCATAGCTGACCCGGGGATTCTTCGCACCCTCTGATCATTTAAGATCTGCCGGGGACTGAGGGCCGTTTGTTTGTTGTTTTCAGCCATGATGATTTGTACTAGGGAGAATCGATATGATCTTTAATTAAGTGGGTTCCCCTTGCCTTTTGCATTCTCGTGCCGTTGACCGTGTTGGTTCATCCGCCTTTTGGACCGATTTCTCAATCCATGGACCAGAGATGGCCCTACCTCTTGATAGCTCCTCCACCCGAAGCTGTTGGCCATCAAAAAGGGGGACTGCTTATACCGGCAGTCACTCGGTTGGTCTTTGGAGGACCATTTCTTCCGCTCTCGTTAGCCCTGACCTTGTTTCCCACCGGGATTGGTTACCACGATCTTCCACAAGGTTGCTCAGGTTTCCAGGGAATACCACTTGGCGGTGAGAGTCGGAATTGAGTAGGAGAGGCTGACTGACGTTAGCTGGAAACAACGTCATATATTCGCTTCACTACCCCCTTAACTTCCCCACCAATAAACTAAGAGTTGCCTATACTAATCTTAAATTATGGTAATAGACATGGTCTTTGTAAGAGAACATGTAAGCTGTTGTGAAATTACTTGTTTTATCAGCAGTGTAGGGACCATGATGCTCCCAATCCTTATCGTGTCCAGAAGATTTAGAACTCGTGCCTAGGCCTATTTGAAGAGTAAGGAGGAGAGATCACTTCTCTTCGTACCTCCAGTGAATTCTCTCTATTTTAACATAATTAAAACAAAAAAAAAACCTTTTATCTTTTTAAAAAATTACTTTTAACATAACAACAAGGAAACAGAAAACGCAGATATAAAATTACAATAAAACACGTAAAGATAGAGAGCTTATGCGTTCGGGGTGTGCATAAAGAAACTAAATTCTTATAATTTTATTAACAATTCTACATGTGCTCATATTCCCGAAAAGCGATAAATCCAATCTCTCCAGTAAGTGATTCTGGAGAATACTGTAGGTGCCGTCATGTTACAAGCTTCGTCGGACCAAGATATCAATCCAATCAACGTATGGTTAAAAATCAGAGGCCCTCCTCCGTCGCCAATGCAAGCCGCACCTACAACAGAATGTTGGTTGTATAATTTTAAGTAAATATATATTGACTAATTTTTCTGTTTTTTTGCTAATTTTCCTTAACAGTACAGTAGTTTTAATCTTTAGTTTGTTATGTAGATACTTTTGAGTTATCTTCGTTATTTTTAAAGATCAGTTTACGCGACCGTAGGGCACACTCATATTTTATTTTGAATATTTTCATTTTTTTTATCTTATTAATAAAGCAAAAAACTTGCTTGCATATTATAAACATAAGCATTCAGCAGCATGAAACAACATCACTTAAAACTAAATTAAAATTTGAAAAACAAAATTTTAATGGTGCTGTTCAAACTGAAACTCATCTTTAATTGAAAGTTTACAACTTTAAATAGCATTTACGAACCTAAAAATCTCCTTCGCTGATTTCTTAGCTATGGAGTCATATTGTGAGGTATAAATTCTAAAAAAAGTCGATTTATTATATATTTATTGTATATGAGGTAGAACTGTGTAGATGCCGATGTTTATAAGTGTTTTAAAATTAGTAACTAGGTAGGTTTTCGTTAGTGTCAAATTATGTTTAATTACTAATGATCGTTCCTAAAAATTTTTAAAAGTTAAAAAAGCCAAATATCTCTTCAAAAGAAAAGTTTCGTTTATAACGGCATGTTAAATTTCACAACAAAATGCTACACTAAAAACTGAAATTTAAAAAAAAAGTTATCTCCCGCAACAGTACCAGGAATGAGCTTGGTTTGCCAGAAAACTAAAGGGAAGATGGGATAGAATGAACCAAAATTATCTCATACTAACATTCACAACTTCAGTTTTAAGTACTTTTAAATGAAAGAAGACAACAATATTTAGGAAGAAATAGGGACCAGACAAATGCACTCGAGTTTAAGCTTGGTTGTTATGAGGAAATTATGGGTGCCATGGTTATGATATTATTGCCGTCTGGAACTAGAAGCATGGCGATGTAAATACACGTCAACTTATAAAACACTTATAGTTTGTTCAACTCGAAAAATGAACATACAATTTTCATCTTTTAAATGAATCTTTACTGCTTCAAGAAATTATGCCCTGCAGCAAATACAGCGATGCCCAAATTTATAAATATTTGTATTTTATATTGGTGTTTGGTCCCTGTAATTGGTAGTTACAGTCAGTAGTTTTTAAAAACCCGAGAGGATTTATTCAATCTCAGTGTGTATCGTAAACATACCCTATAATTTCATTTGCTGGACATCAAACAATTCTTTATTTATGAGAAATGCAAAGAATATTTTGGTTTTGCAGATTACATGCACATGAGCATCAAAACTGACTCCGATTCCTTGACATATTTCAGATATTTACCACGTCCACTCGCGCATAAATGCTCATCCCTAATAACTCCACTATATGAAGCATTACATTCGTAATTGGTGATGACTGTGACGTTAACGCCTCTTAGATGGGCTGCCATGGGACCTGACTTTTCGTTGTACCCTGAAAAAAAATGGCCAATCGTCAGTCTGAAAATATAGGAATGTGGTAGAAGAGGATCAGTCCAAGTAAACTTTTCAAATTCAATCAAATCAGTTTATTTAAATGTACTAGAATGAATTCAACCATCATCTTAGAACGCAATTTTGCATTTTCACATAAAATTTGATTGACCTTTATTTATTTATAGGCATTGCAAGTAATGATATGATGAAACTTAACTTAAATCTAGCCTAACATAAATATGAACTCTAATGAAAAAACAAGAGAATTATAAAAGACTGAAATTAATAATTAGAGTTAATGGGGCAATAACATTTTTGCCCTGGTAATACATTAGCGAAAAAACAGTTCAAAGCGCACAGCACATTGAAAAAATAATTTAAAATTTTAAAATATTTGTTCTTGGTGTGGACGGAAAGAATGTGTTACTATGTCTAGAGTTAATACAGGGAACCAGAAATTTTAGTCTATGTAATAGGTCAGAGCAATTAAATTAGCGCAGATATTTTCGTGAAACACGATTTCATTGGTTTCTGGAAAGTAACAAGTTAATTGAAATTTGTCACCAATATGGGAATCAGTCATCTGAGACGGTGTTTATGCCCCTCATTTAGCAATATATAAGCAGGTACAGAGTAAAATGCGAGCCAGTTTCATCCAAGCTCTGAAGAAGCCAAGAGGATGATTGGCGAAAGTTTGACTCAGCAAAAACCGACGCAAATCGTATGCAAAAACCCGTGTGGGAGATATTCTCCGTCCAACTTATATGATACATAAATCAACCACTTACGCTGAATTTTTTCCAGGCTGTTAATATGAAAATTCTACCCAGACGATCAAACCACTGATGCATACTCCAACTGAGATCTGATGTATGAGTTATATAATATTTTTATCACTTCTGTATTTTTAAAGTCTCTGGTGCAACACGAGGAACAATGGATAATTTCAAGTCAAACATTAATTCCAAGTCGCAAAAAGTGTTAGAATGGGAGAGAGTTTTATCAAAAAGATGATAGTCATATTCCACAGCTGCACACATGGTGGTAAAATATACTATTTGGCTGCATTAAGTTGCAAATTATTTGTTAGGGACCAATTGTCGATTTGCTCCAAACTACGCGGGAGAGCAAGACAATCCTCTGTACACGGGATTTTTTTTTAATGTTGACGTCGTTCGCGTATATGAATAAACTGACATCAAGGTCCATATCAATGTCATTAACAAAAATGTTGAATAATAATGGCTCCAATATTGAACCTTGAGGAACGTCGGAGGAAGTAATGTATTCATCGGAAGTGTGACCATATAGATAGACGTACTAAATGCGGTTTGACAAGTATGAAGAAATCAAATTAACAAGTGATTCGGAAAATTCAAAGTCACGGAGCCTGTGAATTAGAATTTTATGATCTAGGAGATCTAACACTTTTGAAAATCAAGATATATGACGTCCATTTGAGAATCTTCATCAAGAGCCTCAAAAATATACTGAAACATAGTCGTTAAATTGGTAATGGTGGATCTTCCCTAAAAAAAAATATCGTTGGGGTATTTGGTTCATAACAACATGAAATATTTGGTCCTGTAAGAGAGATTCTAAAACTTTACAGAGATTGCAATTTGTGATTTGCGATCTACAATCTTTTTTATGTACGGGAATAATTTTAGACATTTTCCATATGCCAATAACGGCTTGGTTTCTCAGACACAGATTAAAAATTATTACAAGCGGTTTAGTCAGAACAAAATGGCAGTCATGTTTAAGGAATGGTGGAATTAGATCTGGACCCATTGTAAATTTAGGTTAATTACTTTAAGAGCTACAATATACAAAGAACTTTATGAATTTTAGATATCACAAATTTTGTTAGAATATCAACCAACATTTTTTTAAAAATTCATGCAAAACATAAATGAAAACTGATACATATATCTCGAAAACTGAAACATAATGTAAATTTTCAAAAAAATTTAGTCTCCGCTTTACCTTATTGAACATTGAAAAATAAGGGATGGGGTTACTTTTAGATATCTCTAAAGATTGTTTACATTGTCTCCTAAAGGGAGTGCTGTTTCAGTTTTAGATTGATTCATTTTAACAACAAAACTTAAAACAAGGACTACTAAAGAAAATTCTAATAACTAACATAGTTCAAATTCACACAAGGTACATTCTAAAAAGTGTTCTAGTTTTAAATTTTATACTGACTTAACCGTATTGGGAATACGTATGGGAGTTAACGACGTTTGTCAACATTTCAATTCTAATACCTTGTATCCGTAAGACCTTTTCGTTTATGACGAAATAAAGCAAGAATAAATATTTTCGATTCAATTGACATAATGAAGCATTAACATTTACCGCTTTGTCGGGAAAAATATATTTCTCTAGAGTTAGTATAGTGTGTTGGAAGTTTTAAGATTTCACGAGCTGATAAGATCGAAAAACATATTGAATAAAGATAACCAACTCTTTTAAAAATAACGATTTTATGAATTTAGGAATAAACTAACAATCTTAAATGTGCACAATTTGGTGAGAAAGCCCCGTAAATGGCATATCCATACCCCATCCAGACACTATTCCAATCTCCCCGGTGTAATTGCTAGGGCTTGTATCGTTCATGTTGGGTAAAGTTACAGGTTTGATCACGTCTGTAAAGGTTACCGGCGAAGGAAATCTTACCACCCCTATATCGAATCTGGTTGAGTTCGGTCTGTATAGGTCGTGCGGGTACAACAGAAGAGCTTCCCTGCTTACCAAAGTCGGTTCTCTTATAGAAGCATTTGGATTGTTGGCACCCAATATAACTTGGGCGTATTTCCTCCTATAAATATTAGTGTTATTGCGTTTGGTTTGGTTCATACCTTTACATACCCATATATGCAATGTGCAGCGGTCAATACAAACAAGTCCGACAGCAAAATGCCGCTGCAGTAATTTACAAAATCGATAACTAGGGACACCTGATATGGTCTGCTCTGAATTGAGATCTGGGTACCATTAGATATATAGGGCGATACCTGGTCCAGCTCCCAATCAATGGTCCCACCGAACTGTAAACGAAAAGACCAAAGGACATGCTGATTGAATCACCATATTAGATATCCATATTCTTACACCATCCACCGATAGTAAGAAAGACCACGTCACGGCGATCACAGCAAACAACTTCATGTTTTCGCGAAATTTACGAAAAGGCAAACGCACACTGCTTTTATTATGTTGAAATCATTTTGTTACATCTCTATCCTATCTACATATTTAATCTGTGGCCTTCGAACCTTACATATAGCATTGGGTACTCAAATCGAGAGGTTGCTGAAGTATCGTGCACAGATCATATCTGTAGATCGTTTTGGGAGTGTACCGGTTGAGTACTGGCCTGGTCATAATGGAATATGCAGTCACACGTGAAGTACTAATTTCAAAAATTCAACTAGTTTTACTGATACTTAAGTATTCTTATAATATGGTATTTACATTTTGTTTGCAACTTTTGCAGAGTTAGCGGTTATCTTGTCCACCACCGCGACCCCAAGGATCTGTTGTGATTATCTTTAACTATAGAGCGTTATCTAAATTCATCTTTTTTATTAGACTCCTCAGCTTCGTGCCGTAGCTTATTGCTTATAGTTGGATTACTTCCAACAGGATGAAAACACACTCTCAATAGGCCGTTACATTGACAGAATCTATTACGCTTAGATGCCTCTTAAATAACCCGTCAGTAGACCTGCCATTATTTTTTTCTACTCCCGTCTGTAAAATACCCAATTACCTATCGATCTAGCGTGCGGGAAGGGTCACTTTACCAAGTCAGTTTCGTTTCCCATGATTCCGAGCCACTTCGCATTACCGGGATTTTACAGCACGGATTTGAGAGCAATGGGATATTTTCGGAGATATTTCCCCCGATTTGAATTTTGACGTTTGTTTTTTAACTCACTTGTTTATTAAAAACTCGCTCCGCTGCGCTTCGCTCGTGTCAAATAAACTCGTGAGTCAAATGCCGTTTACCGCACTTGTTGCATAATATACTATTACGTTCTTTTAAGGCTTAATATATTTGCTGTAACTTTCTCCGATGGATTTATAAGGGCACAGTTGAAAAAATGTCAAATCAAATTTAGTAGCTGCAGTAGATCAGGAGTGTCAATTGAGTTGTTGACCAATTCGATTATTCCCTGTATAAAATAATGAGCAGAGGGGATTGAAGAGTTATCAATCCTCTTAAACAAATTGAAGCAAAAACTTATGCAATGACAAAGAATATTTTTGTTTATGTTTTGGTTAGTTCTCTATGTCCACTCCCAAAGATTCATTAGTAACAGATCAGAAGTGATCTACACAGATAATTAGCTCTCAAAAATGTTAAAAAATTGAAATTCGAATATAAGAAGAATTAGAGGCACTTGCTGTCCCTTTTTTTAATTATTTAGTTACCTTTTAAAAAGTTTACACTATCCGATACGGCGGCAAGGGTGTGATCAATAAAAGACTTGGCGTATGTTTCACGGAGAATGCAGATTTCTTCATGAAGATAACATGACTTCGATCTGATCGGTGATCCTGTTAATGGTGTTACTACGGTAGAAGGATGGAAAAATATATTGTTAGTATAGTATTTTAAGTTGCTATAATAAATTTTTTATAAAGTCGGTTTATCTGTATTTCTTTAAAAATATTGATATATCCGTTGAAAGGAAGGGTATTCAAAAAAGACCGCTCTTAATATAAACGCTGCCATCATGGATGTGAATTTTTTATTCGCCTAAATCTACAAAAGTAACCAATGTTAATTTGCGTCCAAACTGTCCCCGTCACCAACAATTTTTCCAAATATCTTTATCATTTTGTTATCCTTTACGATTAGTTCAGCATCGCCCTGACCCATGTCACGATTTGGTTCACATAGGGTTTCTAATACAGACTCCCAATGTCTTGAACTCTCTGGAGGTGTATTGTTGCTATTACTATACGAAATAACATCTGGATCATCTGATAGGTGAGCGATTTCCTCTTCCTCCTCAATGGCATGTTCCCTATACATCGTATGAACACTGGCAATTAGCTCTTTCCAGTCTTCGTCCTCGCTAAATTCGCTCAGTTCCCCCAGCAAGTCTCTCAGAGTGATGTTATTTGATTTCGCTTGTTCGAAAGGCAGCTCCTCTATGAATTGCTGGATTTCCTCTATCGAGGGAAATTCCTTAATATTTTTCTTTTTTCTTGTGGCTCTTCGGTTCCTTTTTTTGTCCAAAATCTTTTTGACACAGTATATCGTCGCGGTACAAGTACACAGTGCCAGAATGATTTTATAGTGCGGATGTAAATTGGCCAAGGTCCAAGTGGAGTTCATAATTTTGAAAATATACGCGATTATATCAAATCTGAAAGTGATTTAACTATATGAATGGGTATGTCATAATGACATGTCTTGACGCAATAAAGTGGAAGTTTACAAAATGTGACGCACAGAAGGAGGATGACAAGTACTTATGGAGGGAAATGAAATAAGACTAATTTTGAAGCAAGGATGGATTCCTAAACGAAGGTTAATGGACATTCCACTCGTCTCGAATTACAAATTGTCATGAAGGCATTAAAGGCGATGTTGAATGACTCAGTAATGGTTATCAATAATGCCTGCTATCATTCAAAAAAACAAGAAAACAAGAGATTATTGCGCGACCAGCGAAGATTTGAAGAAAACATTTTTATTGTGGGTTATAATTTAATAGATAGTGTATGATAGAAGATTATGGTGGTATATGGTGTATCTTCTACTCAGATTCCAACCAACTCTGGCTTTTTTTAAAAGAGAAATGTAAGTATTTTCAAATACCGTATCTATAAATCAGCAGGTTTGCATGCAACGGCAGTCGATTCATTGGATTTTGCTGTGGAGAAAAATTGAAAAAGCTGTTGCTTCTGGGGTCCTCCTCCGCAGCAGAAGCGGTCCTCAAAAATCAGACGAAGCCTTTCAGGTTTGAGACAGACTTAGACTTAATTTGAAGTTGTTGACTTTGGTCGGCATTCTTATTTTTAAGCTTAATATTTATATTAAATGGTGAACTAACGAATTATGATACCCGCAATTTCGGTTAATTTACAGCCCTTTAATCGCCCAACCTTTGGACCGAAGTCTCTTGACTCAATAGTAATAAATATCTTTGATACTGCCTAGTAGATCATCACCATGTCCATATCACATCAGGGAATAAGACGCGGTGGCTTATTAAGTCCACTCTTGTTCAACCGGATGATGAACGAGGCTACTCAATAGGAGATGTAAACATTAATATAGTCACTGACGCAACTCTAGTGATCTCCAAGGATTTCGAATTGAATTTGCTCTGTTCTGTGAAAAATATCTCTTTCGAAAAAGTCAAAAACTGTCAAGATTGCTAGAGAACCGTTACGTTGTACGGTCCAATTTTACAACACTATCGTTAAATAAGTGCGTAAAAACAAGCACCAAGTACGTCAACGAAGAAGCCAGACTTTGAACTATCTGGATGCCTCAATGGTGCGGTGTGGTCGAAGAAGTTTCGGGCAACACAAACAAAGGTAAGAGCGTGGTGCGTCCAATAACTGCAAGATGCATGGGTCTAAAAGAGGAGGGCACAGTGGATTGCACAGTGTTAAGAATGACTAAAGACAGTTTGACGAGAAAGATTCATGACAACGTCCGGTTAGGAAAAGGAAGTCGTAATTGGACAAGAAAGAAGTGGAAGGACGTTGTGTGTACAAAGGTTCTAGGCATATTAATTATAAGAAAAACAGTTATCGAAAATTTTTGTTTGCGACACAATGATTTCGAAATGCAAAACTTATCGGGAACTCGAAATTGAATTCCGGAAAAACCTTTTAAAAGGATTGAAGAACGTTTATATCTTCGAAACGTTCGTTATCTTTGCTTTTGTATAGTCCAGGCTCTAAGAAAGTTTCCATGGTTATCTCGATTAAGACAATGTATTGAACGTAGTAGTTGATATCTAATAGAAAAATTCACCGACACTTGAATGGCTAAGCACTAACGCAACAAAAGGCCGCACCCTACCGTCAATAATTATAATGAGTTTCGTCTTCGTGTAGTTACAACTGAAGGCGGACTAAAATTGTTGAATTATTTCTTTTTCGAAAACACGGTTTAATATAAATCGAAGACATCTGACGTGGTCGTTAATCGTATCGCGCCATTAAGCAAAGAATAATAAAACTGGCGATAAAGGATCCCACGTGTTTAACGATTTCGAAAAATCTGGTCAGTTCGATTTCAAACGATCGCAGGGGCTTGGTGAATTTGTGAGGTGATAATGACCGTTATATTTCGTTTGAAAAACAGTTCGGTGAAATTGAAAAACGTGTCGTGTCGTCGTTCGAACTTCTGTTGTTTTTTGTCTCGAAGCAGGTTGTTTTAGCATCTTTGGTTTTTGTAAGCCGAAAACATGAGAGGTACGTTGAGTTGAATTTATAAGAAAACTTAGGTCGAATTTTGTATTTATATAAGTAGTTCAAAAAAATGATGTGCATATTCGCGATTTGGGTAGCCGAATCTTTGAAATATCCAAGTTTTGCAAATTGATAACCTTTTACGAGTCCATTGGGATACCTGTGGTGGTCGTAATTGTGGTAAACAGGAAAAAATATTTCTAAACTAGATAGAGCAAAGTCGACCTACATGCATGCCATGGAGTCAATTTTTTACAAATATTTAATAGCAACAGCATTGTCGACCAACATAAATTTATTTTAATTTTCTCCTAAAAAATTGTCGATATCATTTTTAGTTATGAAAATCTCTCAATTTTTTTAATCAAGTGCACTGGCGCCCCCTGTAATTCTTTGTAATCAAATCATGGTTCGCTTTTATATTAATAATTTGTCTGTCTTAAGCCCTTCAATCATTGCTATTGGTATTATTATTGGTATTTGTCTTGAAGAATGGCAGAAGAAAGGGAGAAAAGAAGTTGCTTAAATCTTGACTAGCTCTAATTTTGCTAAGCGTAATGCCTGGTCTATAAGTCAGTGTTATTAAAAATGAGATAAAGCCATTTTTATGAATTTCCGCTTTTCTTTTAAAATTCGAATTAAACCATAACAGATACCCTCTAGACTGTATCAAGGAATAACTTGTAAACAAAATAATGAACATCAGTTGCGTGCACAGTTTTAAGCATTGCTATTTTAAAGTTATAACTCTATAATGAGTTTATTTTTTATAAAGTTTAAGGTAAGTTAAGCATTGAAGTTAATTAGGAAAGTTATTATTTGATACAATTTAGAAGCTTTATATTATAGGTTGATTCCAATTTGTTAAAACAGAATGAAAATTGCGTAAAATGGCCACGTTTCCATAGCAATGCAATGCATAGCATAGCAATGCAACTTAGCAATATACAAAAATCTACAAGATTCCACATCTTTTCACATCTTGTGTAACACGATTGACGATAGGTAGAGCACCACGGGCTTAAAATCCAATAAAGGCAAATTTAACGGCCAAGTTAAAGCCAGTGAAAAATTGACATCTTTTTTTCTGTCTTTTAGCTTAGTTTAGAAATTAGTTTTTCGGTAAAACGTCACAATTACGACAACTTTGTACAAGGTAGTTCAAATTGGACACCATTATGGAAAGTTTCTTTATTCTATAGAAAGCCGACTAAAACTGATGTCGGTGTCTGTGGCTCAGTTTTCATAAAATGAATATTACCGTTAATAGAGTATTATTACAAAACGTGGTTTAAGAGAAAAAATATTGCCAAGATTTTTATGTGTGTGTATATTTTTGAATAATTGAAAATAACTCAAAATTACCTTTGCAAAAATGTAGAATCCTTGTTATTCTGCTTGAGTCTAAAGTTTTTAATTTCGTATGCTGTGGATGGCAATACAGAAAAACAAATGCTTACTGGTAGTTTTCAAAATGTGATTTCGGCTATAGAGCTTGTAAATAAAATTCATGGTTTCAGATTTAATAAGGAACTACAGGAACATTTTGGCGGGAAAAAACTCATCTTCGGATTCAGATACGGAATCCCAGCCTTTGGTCAGTTCGAGTTACACGTCAACTAGTAGTTACGGGTGAGATATTTTTGATTTTATACTTTGTGTCCTTTAATAGTTTGTCAGGATACCAAAAGTAAATATTGTCAAACAAAACCTTCGTACGTTTTTAGGTTTATTTTGGTGTCTATATGAACCAACATAAAAAAATCTGTCTCTTATATTTAAAACAGAAAAAGGTGGTAGTTCATTTGGAAAAAGTAAACACCCTGTGTACACAAAAAAATATATAAAACGTTTAAGTCAATACAAGAAACCGTTGTATTAAATATTTTTTGTAGCTCTTACCATTTGGGAGATGGGATAGCGAAAATTTTTCTAAAATCCTGCGGTCCAAGACCTTCAAAAATAGCAGTAACTAAATAAATGAGAACTATCACAATTGGAACAATAATATAATAACTCATAGTAATAAATTCTCCAATAAAACGTTTCATTTTAATAAATTTATGTTCTCAATAGAAAAGTTACGAATTATTCGGTATACTATTAAAATTTCTGTTGGTAAGATTTTTTCGCCAACCATTTTGACTGTATTGGTTTGTTTGGTATTTTGTGGGGTGAATCACAGCAAATATACAAAAACTATTATGTGAGGTGGAGTAACTGACTCATGATTAAGATGTTGTAAGAAAAAAAAACATAGTATAAATGATTTTTTCTACACTCGTCTGTCAAATGCCTAATTACGCACTGATCTAGCGTGCGGGAAGCATCACTTTACCACGTCAGTTTCGTTTCCCACTTATCCGAGCCACTTCGGACATTTTCGGGATTCTACCGTACGGGTTTGGGAGTTGCGCTTCGCTCGTGTCAAATAAACTTGTAAGTCAAATACCGTTTACCGCACTTGTTGCATATTATACTAGTTTATATACGGAAATATGTTAAAAAGGGCCTGGTTGACCTACAGTAAAATGAATGTATAGGTTTTAGGCTATCTGGAACCTGGTTGTGAATATTTACGTTTTCGAGAAAGAAATGAGATGTAGTCTGGCATTTTGTTTGAAAAGGCAATTGAAAAAAAAATGTTCCCAAGTACGAGAATGAAAAAGCTTCATATGCTAAAACCATACAAATTTTAAACTTAAACAGTTCTCTAATAAAACAAATAATTCAAGTTGCAAAAATATAAATTCATACATTATCGGATACTTGGAGCTACGAAATCAACTTGATTCAGTCTAGAATGTTGGTTGGTTAGTTCAAGTTCAAGTCGGGATTGAATTGAATTGAATTGAATTGATTATTGTCTCTTCATTGTATCGTCAAACCTCATCATTAAATAGTTTTAATACATATTCTTTGACATCAAGTTAAAAAAGCGTCTGAAATACTCACCGTTGTTATCTGAAATGCAGTATCAATACCCAAACGCCGCAAGTTACTTTGGATATAGAGAACCACGAACTTGTTGAACTGTGCATCGGAAAATAAAATAAAAAATGAGTCGTTGTTCTGACAGCTACTGGCCCAGTTACCCCCTGTCAAAACATCCCCCGTTTTTAGAATTCATTTGCATCATTTAGTAATCTTGTCAGGAAGCTAGCTGTCACCACCACCACAAAACATTATCTTTTGTCATTTCTGAGATCCCATATTTCTCAGATTAATTTTAATGCTGGAAAATGTCCATGTATTATTGGGAGTAGTTTAAGGTAAAAAGTTACGATAAACTTGTGAGGCTTAGTATTTGATTCAATTTGAATTTTTTACTATCGTACCAAATAAATAAATGAAAAGTAAATTTAATTGGGAATGCATATTAATCTTCTTGATATGGGCAATGAATAGCTTCTTTATTTTAAGTTAAGGACTGTTTTTTTGTTGGTGCTTCTACCTGTTGGCTATTAATAATAGTAATAATAGTAGCAATAACAAAATGCTTTTTGCAACCTTGAGAGTAGAGCCTAAATCACTTTCGGGATAATTTTAGCAGCATTTGATGACCTCAAATTAGAATTCTCTCTGACTTCAACGCAGCGATGGATTGCATCATATTTTAGGGCCTCCTTTCATATATGGCATCTCTAACCGGTTAACGGTGCACTAACCTCGTATGCGAATCGCCGGTCTCAGCAAAAATTCGCCCAGCGAATTTCATCACCCAGTTAAAGTGCGCATATGAACTTGACCGGACTTCCAGTTGTGGAAATTAAATTTTCATAGAGTGTAATATTCGATAACGTGTTCGAGAACTTTATCGGATTCCTCTAAATTGGTAAGCGGAAACTGAATTGTTTGAGCTGTCGTCTGAATTAAGTTGCTGGATTCGAAAGTGATAAACAAAAATTTGAACTTTGTTTTAGAGGTCCATATCTACAAAACGCAAAAGATATAACAGAACCAGGGATTTCTGTTTAGACTCATTTTTAAATATATTTAAAGTGTTTCATTTTACTCATGCATGGGGGTAAACAAAACACTGCATTTTTTCGGGGCTCTCAAATTATTGTTATATTTTATTTCTAAATGGTACGGAGGAATAATAAGAAATCCCAACACATGGAAAAAGAAAACAGGGAGTCCCACCAATATATATATATATATATATATATATATATATATATATATATATATATATATATATATATATATATATATATATATATATATATATATATATATATATATATATATATATATATATATATATATATATATATATATATATATATATATATATATACATTACTTTACATTATTTTAAATAAAATGTATTACAATAAATTTAATATCTATAATATCTATAATATATATAATAAAAATTAAATATATACGAGGGCGATTCACTAATTGGGAATATTTTAAATGTAGGTACTGCCAGCTGCACACGACAGAGGCAAGTGCTTGGTTGACTTCATCATTTGTTTTGCAGATATTTGCAATTAATCACTTCAGAGTTTTTGCATCGCAGGATTGCATCTGTTGGAAATGCGATTACACTTTAATCCGCATTGACAAAAAAGCACAATGTTATCAATTGCAATTTCTGTGAAGTAATAGATGCGTACAACAGCTTTTAACAAATTGTGGTTTTCAAAAGAACCATAAACAAGCAATTTTAATAATTTTAGTTGTAATATTTTGAGATCAGGATTCTACAGTTTTTTATTATTAAATCACCCTGTATATGTTGGGTAAGTTATTGAGTGCATTCCTAACCACCTGGATATTCTGTTAAATTAAATAAAATAGTAGAAAAACGCTATAAGTTTTGTTGCATTTACCATTTTTTGATGTGCACACAAAAATGCTAATTTGCAAAATGTGCGGTACAATTTTATTTCCAGCCCGCTTTTTAAATAGCAAAATTTCCGTATTGCACATGCGTTGATTCTTATATTTAATATTTTGTTCATATATGTGTGAAAGAGTTGTACTTATGAAGAATGCCTTATTTTTCAATTCGTACCAAATTATAATAAAATAAAATAACAGCAAGCTTACCTACCAATTGAGGACACGAAATCACTGAAACAAAGCAATGAAACATTGCGGTAGCACTAATAGGTTTTTTATTTGCACCCATGAACAAGTAAAGTAGTATATATGTCAAATTGTTTCAGGCAATCTTTTAATAGCGCTTTTTATTAGAAGGGTTTCGCATTTTGATTTTGAATAGTTTAAATTTAAGGGTAAAGACGACGGCACAGCGAAATAAAAAAAAGTATGATATGCGCAATTAGATTCAAGAGAATAAGCTTAGTCCCCAGTGTGATCCTCAAGTCATATTATCGGATCATTCTCTTAAATGGCATTTAACGACATAATTCAATTTTCGGCCGTCGGCTTCTCAACTAATGCTCGGAACTAATTACTCCCATCTAAAAATTTTGATTATTGGCCAGATGTTTTGCGAAACCACTTCAATTGGCCGTAAATTTGCCTAGACAATTGGCACTTAATTTCGAATGGGAGCTAATATTGTAACCAAGCAACTTGAAACGTTCCGAGGAGAGAACCAAACTTATTGAACCTTGCAAGAATAATTGCACATTGCAGGTACGCTTTTGGGGAAATGACGTTACTTAAAATATTATGATTTTCAAAGTTTTCTAGCTGTGACTACGGCAAAAAAAATTTACGGCATCACCTCAAAAAATTTGTAATGAAACTCCGCTTATCTATAGGAAATAACCTCCGTAGTATTGAAATCACTTTTTGAGATATCGGATTTGTGTCAAACAACACCCTCATGGACACAGACACTTTTTAAAACTGACGTGTTTACAATATCGTAACACTAAATTAAATTTCTAAATGGACGTTATAATTTTTGACTTTTTATGAAATACGTGCGGATAAGAAGAAAAAAGAAATTTAATTAAATTTTGTTTCATGAAATAAAACGAATCACATTAAATTCAGTATTGGTGGAAAATAAAAATGATAAATATTTGTATAGGGAACCTAGTCATATTTTCACAAACCTACAAGCCTTTTTGTTTATTATATTAAGAAATAGTAAATAAAAAAGTTATAGACTTTTTTCTGAAGCTCCAACTTTTCGTTACCTTTTATAAAATAACAGAATACACTCTACTACTTTACAATTCACAATATAGCCTGCGATTCTATATAAAAATATGGACGGACACCCTGTCAAATTATCAGTAAATTAATGAAAGTGGTACTCTTCATCTGAGGAACTTTTTTCTCTTGATAATAATATTATTATGCGTATATAGATATACAGATCCTATATTTTTTCTTCTTTTTGATGATTATCAATTTTCTGAAATATTTTCCTACCTACGCCTATCGATTATCCGAAAATTGAGTAATACTAAATTATTATTAGGGGAATCAATTAAACATAAAAAATTGCAACAAATATTTTGTTTTAGATCGACCTTCAGCCCTTCGATTCCATCGACTGATACCGAGGAGGAAATTGTACAGACTGTCCAAACTAAGCAGCCAACTACCTCAGGAAAAACACCTTTATCGTTGAGGAAAAATTACGAGAGGTAAGTTTTTGTTTTATATGCGGTCGAAACTTAAGATTAAATTTGATTTTCCGACAAAAACTTTTTTTTTTCTGGTAACTTACTTTCTCAGGATGGACTGTTGGTATAAATTTCTTTATAAAATTGCTCGAAATGTGTTCCATTTAAAAGTTAGGTAATTTGTTATCGAAGAGAGTATTTTATAATTAAACATGGCATGGTCTTCCGTATGGGAAGTATTAACATCGATTGAACTGAGGTGGCTTTTACTTGATATATACATTTGTATGTCACATTTTGTGGGTGTATGTAAAATACCAAAATTGTCGTCAAAAATGTGTTTTTGTGTGTTTAAGTCTGCATAATTAGAATCTAGACTATTGTTTTTAAACGCTCTTTTATGTTCGTTAATGCGTTTCTTGAAGGATCCACCTGTTTGTCCAATAATAATTTTAGGACAGGATCCACATTTCAACCTGTAGACACCTGATTTTTGAGATTTTGGAGATTTCGTTTTATTGTTTTTTAAAATTTTTCCTATTGTGTTGTTAGTTGTAAAAGCTATTTTCAAACCACATTTTGACAAATGTTTTGAACCAATTTGTTTAACGATTTTAAATTCTTTGTTCTAATTTTCTGTTGAGAGTGGCGTATTAAGAGGTCTGTGTATAAAAGTGTGAAATGCAGCTATTTTGCTTGTATAAGGGTGATTTGAGCTGTTATGTATGACTGTGTCCGTGTGTGAACGTTTATGATAAATGAAAAAATCTAATTTGTTTTGCGTTTTCGTAATAGTTGAGTCTAAAAAATTAATAGAGGTATCCTGTTTAATCTCGATAGTGAATTTTATACGGTTATGTTTAATGTAATTTAAAAAAGAATTCGATTGTCTGTGCATCCCAACAAAGCAAGCACGTTGGAATCTACTAAATCTATTAGTAGGGTGAAATCTGCTAAATCTATTAGTAGGGTGATATCTACTAAATCTATTAGTAGATTTCACCCTAAGTCACAGGTTAAACCATTGGTGAAACAAGATTTATTAGATTGCTTAATAGTATCTTTACACCAAAATTATTTTGAACCCAACTCTTTTGCGGGGTATCATAAGTGTCGAACCAGGTTTCATCCAAATAAATAAATGGCCTTTGTTGTTCTCTGTAAATCCTAAGTGTTTCTAGATATTCCAGTCGCCATTTCCGAATTCTAAAATATTCCATTCCATATTAAAACTTGCCTTTTGTCAATTTTTTTAAATATAAAACCCATGTGTTGAATAAACTTTCATAAGTGCCACATTTAACACCGGTTTCAACTTTTTCAAGCCTCCTAATTAAGATATCTAATGTAGGCACGCTTGGTTCCTCGTAAAACTGGTAAATTTTACGCCGTATTATATCTCGATCACTTTCATCTACACTGGAGAAAATGTTAGCATCGCTTCTTTTTTTTCTCGCTGAAATGGGATTATTCACAATTTTCCATACAGTTGATGTTGGAATTTTCGTCAATGTGGCCGTTTCTTCTAAAGATGCTTGCTTGTTTATAAGTTCCTTAGTCTCAATAGAATAGTTTTTTCTACATTTGGGCGGGGGCACCTCCTGAGATACGCTCGACTCGCACATATTTTGCATAATTTGCACACGATTCAACACACGCTGTATTACACACGAAATAAAAATGACAAACTTACACTAAGTAGTATACCAAACCAAAAAATATTAAACACAGGTAACATAGGTATAAAATAATTTTCTATTACAGACCACAATTTTACCTGAATTTAAATTCCGAAACTTTAAGTAATAATCTTGTTGCATTGTATGTTAATGACCACCGTTGGATAATGCCATTCAAATGCAATTGGTCACTTTCTTATATCTATGAACAGACCACAGTTTGTAAATATTACATTTGATAAAGACACGGTGTTGTCGAAACAATTGTTATGTAAAAATATATAATTTCGTGAAAATCTGAACTTTTAGTTCTTATTTATTTTGATTAATTAATTAATTGATAATTAATTAAATTTATAACTTTTTAAGACGGATTAACTTTTTAGTTGCCCAACTATATATATTCACATATAAAATTCTAGGCGATTAATCCTTGGGCCCAGTTTCGAGCCTCCAGAATTGGACATTTTTACGTCTAGAGATACAGTATTCGATTCGCAGAGCAACTACGCTAAACTTTTTGGCCTGATTGACGGTCCCACCTCGGTAGGTATAAAACACTACTTTTCTTCTTATTTATTTAACTAAAGTTTTGCTCACATTGCTCGATAATAAATTGTGCTTTTTTTTGCCGACCAGAGAGATAAACCGATGGTGTACTCAAAAATATCTGCGAATTTATCACTAATTTTTGGAATTCGAGTTATTTTCGCAATTACAATAATAATCAGATAAACTAATTGAACGCGGTCAAAACGAAACTATGTTTTCGATCTCGTTCTTATCGCGTGTTATATAGAAATCATCACGGAAATATTGTAACCACCACATATTTACCCGCCTATCACATTTTGTGTAATTGCAAATTTTTCAAAATTTTTCTCTAAGAGAAACTTAGTTAAATAAGAAAGAAAATTACGTCTTAAAGATTGAATCTCCTATCGATATGTACATAGGACATAGTACATTTGCCAAACGAAGATTCTCTTCCACTATATTTGATATCCTTAATAATGTTTTCCGCATCTGCAATGCATTTATAATCAATTTATTGACTTTCGCACACAAACTGACTCGAAATTGACCAATCACAATTCAATTTATCATCGGAAGTTAAAGCATGTGCGTAAAAAGTGAAACATTTGTTTAGGCAAATATCCAGTGATCAAACAAATATTTCATTCAGCGATTAATCGCTTTTAAAAAGTGTAATAAAATATAAATCGCCATATGACTACAGGACAACTCCCTACTGTAACAGGAAAAGTAATTTCCTTTTTTTCAAGCCAAAATCAACATTGTTGCTAGATAAATCATATGCAAGAGTCCTTGGTGTTCATTTTACTTATTAAAAACCAACCATAACAACTAAAAACAAACACATAATAAAAATAGTTAAAACACCAAATGAACTGCGCATATAACCTATAAATCCGGATGACAATTGACCGATACTAGAAAGAGCTAGAAACAGCTTTCGTATTCGGAAAGATTCGGGGCAATTGGGAAAGTGTCATTTAACACAAACTAGTTAAGAACCAAATCATATTCTTAAAAAAACAAACCACTATATAAACAAATGTGTTTGCGCTGCAGTACATAGGTTCCCCAAGTTTTGGTTAGTTTGAATCAATTGTCTAAAAAAGTCAAGTCTAATTCAAAATTAGTAGTGAAAATGAATAGTTAAGTGCGGTTAAGTTAGTTAGAGTTCAATTACATAGTAAGTTTGCCTAACACGTTTCAATTTCTGCAATTTTTTTTAACATATTTTTGACATTAAATTTCCTGTCTTTTCTATCCAGGCTCCAAATATTTGGGATGTTCCTATATTCGTTTTTAAGTGATTTAATTAACCTCAAAGTAATAAATTCCAGAAACCGCTGTTCCTATAAAAATACCCTATTAAACCCCAACATCAAGCTACAACAACAAGCTACAATATGACGTCTTCACTTTATCTTATCTTCACCCATGTTGCTCAACAAAATCACTCCAAATAAAAGTTCCACATTTTTATGAATAGCAGAGAATATACGCTTTTGAAGGAATTCACATATTGTCTGTATTCTGTGCAGAATGATTTTAATTCATTATTCCACTGATTATCAAATCTTTTGTTTAAAGCTTAAACAATTTCTTTATAGTTTTCCAAGAATGTAACCATTATACGTTTACTGCTGTAGTTCCATTGCTTAGTGTCTGCAACGACAAATACAGACTACGGAAAGTACCTTGCTTGCTGAAATTCATCTCGATTGATTATAAATGTGGCCTTATTGCTGGGTAAAGAAAATTCGCTTAGCTTCATAATAACCCGATAAGTTTCAGATGAGTACCAAAGACCCAAACGTTCTCAAGTCCTCCTCCACGACAAGTAGTTACCCATTTTCGGACTACAGGGACGAAGAAAAATCTACTCAAAACTCTATAGTAACAATGTAAGTAAACTACCATTTGTCGGCAAAAACTATCGAATATATCTTTGATTATTTTTACAGCTTTTATTTTTTTAAGGCAATTTTTGTTTTATAAGGCGATGTTAAAATTTCACTTGAATTCAAGCCTCATTGCAAAAATATCTAATAAACTTTAATATTATTGATGTATCAGACGCATAATTAACGCTTATTCAAAACATTTGAATTGGAAAAATTATAACTCAAAAAAAAACAAGAGTCCGGCAGAATTAACAATTTTAATTTTTTTTTATAAGAATACTTAATATCATAAAGCTGGTTAGAGCCACAAATTCAGTAAACAACACTACCCACGCTGCATGTCGATATCGAATTCTACACTAATATGCAATAAATAACAATAATGAAATAAGGCGCCGAATTGCGTTGAAATGTTTACTTTCAAGACGTAAATACAAACGATGCTGCGTGCGGTTGCGTGACAATTTGTTTAAATATATACAGAATTTAGGTCTTCGGACATGCGTCAATCGATGGTGTTCTGTTTCCGGGAATTTTTGAGCCTAAACACCGTTCAAAAAATCTACAGACTAGTAAATGATGACCCATAGTGTATTTTTCTCCGCGTTACAGTGTTGTCAGGTCATTCCAACTATTAAATGCTAGCAGTATTGGCTCCTTTGTTAATGCTAAATATTTTGTGTCAGGTATTTTGGCTAATCATGACGGAATCACTTGATCGTATCGTCTGACAAATTAGTGCACACCAACCAGCTAGAAAAAAATCAAATTTTACCGCAACCTATTTTATCTACTTTATTTTTAGTAAACCCAATAACCCTAACAAAAATATAATTTGTTGCTTCATATTAGTCAAATAGAATGCTTTTAGTTTTTGTTACTGCTCATATTTTCCATATTGCTCTTTATTTGCCACTATAAAACTTATCTTATGTACTGATTATACTGTTAATGACGTTAATGATATATTTTTAATGTGTTTTACTAAGTTTATGAACATACAATTATTTAAAAGAAAAAGTGGCCCCGATGCTAAACTTTTACTTGAAATTCTAAATTGTCTAATGTTAATAGGCTTCAAATAATTAAATTAAAATTAAATGAACGGACTATATATAAACATGAATAGTTTGGCGTTTAACTTTAAAGTAGACAGAAATTAAAGGAAATTTCATTTCGAGAACTCAAATGTATTACATTCAATTTAATTGTTTTTTATAATAAAAATTACAGGTACATACATATACAGGGTGCCCGGTCATGTTTCGAAAATTTATAGGAGCTTTACTATGAGTTATATCGTAGAACTAGAATGAGCGTTTCCTTTTTGAAAGGAAGAGCAATTTTTCTTCAAATACAACATTTAGAAGAACGACTCTCTTGTTCGCTAATAATGGAGAGTTATGACAGCTTCTTTCCATTTCCATTCCAAAATTTGTAATACCCGATTTATTTATCTATCTATCTCACCCAATCTTATGGTTCATGTACGTGTAGAATTGGCAATTATCGCCTTATCGGTTTTTCCTTCGGATAAAAGGTCGTTGCATACATTGGACATTGACAAGATTTTTGACGCATCCTTCTATAACAAATGAGTAATAAACAAAGTCACGTGACCTCGGAGACAGTACAAAGAGATGCGTTACTGCGCCCTCCCTCGAACAATCGATTATAATCTGACGAAACCGGTAACGAAATTGAATCATCTTCATACTAAAAATAGTCGATTTTTATCGAAAGGGATCAATTCGGGGCATCGCGTATCTGTTTCCCACTTGGAGGGGGTTAGTTCGTCATTGTTGACTAGTTGAGCGGTTTTAGTAATTTGGAACTGTGGGTCAAGGATTTGGGTTCTGCAACTAAAGCAGTTGTACGCTTTTAAATAACATTTATTAAGGCAGTGGCTTTTGTAAATAGGGAACCCCTTGAATATAAAATCAGGCGATTAATAACGATCTTTTAGTTGAGATTTAAGGAAAAATATATTATTTAGAAACATCAGTGGCAGCAGATATGTTGTTATGCAGTTAAATTAATAGCAGCTTTTGCCCAATTCAGCCATCTTCGTGCCTGCTATAATTTCCACGATCCCAATGGTAGGATCGTATTTGAATTTTTTCAATATGCTATGTGTGAAAATATTGTATTGCTCTTTGCTTTTATTAAAAAATCTTGTAAAAAACTTTTTAAAATGCACATTTCTTAATGTTTCCATTAGCTTGATTAACTTGAGCTTATGAAATCAAACAAAAAATTAAAACATATAAATTTATACTTCTTCCAATTAATGGGTAATTATTAAAAAACTGGGGCAGATACGTCAAGACACAAAAATGTTAGATAAATCGTCAATCAAACTACAAAATGGGAAGGTAACAAACACTTTTCCAAGAGGATATCACATAATATTTTAAATTAAATATATCGCGTTCAATGGGAAAGTACTATAAGAAAAATTCAGTTATTACCATAAGAAAAATTGAATTATTTTAGCCACTATGAAAAATAGACGGAGATATTTCCTCTTAAAGATATTTCTTCTTTAAAAAAAAAATATGAAAAAGAAAACTAGAAAAAAAAATATTCAAAGAAATATTCACTCGATTCTGTTGAAATTTCGCAGTGTGATTTAGTGTATTAATTTAGTGCAACTAGATTAAAATTGTTAAGTCCAGGGGACTTTTTTTCAGTTTACTATTTCTTGTTGCTTCGTTTTCGAGAAATAATAAATAAAATCAGTTTTATTACGTGTCACTGGACAAAATTGGTGTACCAATTTTTGCTAAAAATCACAAGTGCATTGAAAACAAAGAGCCATTTCTACATAAAGGTGCGTTTTTTGCGTCACTTCTCTATGTAGAAAAGTAGAACGGAATTAGTTACATTTTATCCTTTGAGTTCGTAGATCATTCCCAACATTTGTTGTAGTGTACTTTATGTTATTAACGCCACTGGATTTAATGATCTTAATCTATTAGGGCTAAATAATTCTCGTAATACACCAAACAATGTACAATATAGTCAAATATCAACAGAATATTTGTTTAGATATTAAGACAATTAAGACAATTTTTTTTTTAATTCCACACTCTATATCTTAAATTATAAAATCATTTTCATACTGCCTGGTAAAAATGGTCTTTTACTAAAGATTTTTTTAACAGTACGGGTATACAATTGACTGAAATTATTTCAAAAATACCATGAAAATGTATTGTGGAGTCGATATTATTATTGGGATTACCCGAATCGCTAAATATCATCTTCGGATATTCCTTTTCGAGGCTAATATGTAAATTGGACATCACAAACACATAATAATTTATTGTAAAATACATATTATTATTAGATAATGTTAGATAACGCTCTATCATTGAAAGATTTTATTTAAATCATTTTCTGGTATAATGTATTTCTGTCTAAGCAATTGTCTCCCGTCTACTGCATTTGACCATTAAAAATCTTTCAACGAAGCTGAATTTTATTTTTTTCTAGATTCGCAATATGGAACACGACTATGGGATCCTCGTTATTGGCGATGTCGTGGGGCATACAAATGGCGGGATTGGTACCGGGAATAATCGTCAACATTTTAGTAGCCGCCATTTGTTTATACACTTGTTACTTATTATTGACGGTTTTTGAGAGACACGGTAAGTTCCGATGATTTATAATCAAAACTAACCAAAACTGAGTAGGGTACGAACAAATGACTTATTCTTTATAAGAACATTAGCAGTGTAGTATAATTTAAAGCCTTTGCAGCATTACCCTCCATAATTTTAGGTATGCCTGGAGAGGACACCGACATCAGCCACATATGCCTTATGCTGTTGGGAAGGTGGGCCGAAATACTCGCCAAAGTATTCTCTATAGTGGTGTTGCTAGGAGCGAACATAGTATACATGATCTTGATGTCAAATTTTCTCTACAACTCGGTATACTTCCTGCACGGTATGAACTTTTCAAAACGCACTTAGCCCAACCGCATTTTCTACATTTTTGCGGTTCCAGAATTGGTGGTTTCTCCAGAGTATGACGCCGAAGTGAACCAATCTGTACTTTGCCCAAAACAAAACGCCACTGAGGCGGAACTGGCTATCCGAAGTTCCGTGTTCGACAACGTTTGGGATCTGTACGGCACCGTTCCCCTATATTTAGCTGTGATATTGTTTACTGTATTAAATTTCAAAAGTCCGACATTCTTCGCCAAATTCAATTGCCTCGGTAAGTAGAAGTGTCGTGTTGATTCTGCACCCAAATGTGTATGACGTGGATGGATCTTTGACAGTACAATTTAAATAAATATATAGAAAAAAAAAGTAACTTTAAAATCACAATAGCTCATAATGATGAATGAAGAACGTGATTATATTTGTAAAAGCTATTACTGTGTTTTTAAAATATAATCATTTTAATATTGAAAAAAAAACTTGTGCTAGTAAATATGATGTTACTAATTATTTAGACATTTTCTCTTGAGAACGAAAAAAAAACACAGTAATAGCTTTTACAAATATAATCACGTTCTTCATTCATCATTATGAGGTATTGTGATTTTAAAGTTACTTTTTTTTCTATATATTTATTTACTTAAGTAACTTTAAAATCACAATAGCTCATAATGATGAATGAAGAACGCGATTATATTTGTAAAAGCTATTACTGTGTTTTTAAAATATAATCATTTTAATATTGAAAAAAAAACTTGTGCTAGTAAATATGATGTTACTAATTATTTAGACATTTTCTCTTGAGAACGAAATAAAAACCCAAATATTTATTTCTCCTCAAAGACGCTTTAAATTTGAAATTATTTTTCTCGAAAAGTTGTAGTCATTATAAGGGCAGATTATGAAAGGGTTTTAGATGTTTTTTTGCTGAAATAAATTCAGTGAAACGATACTATAACAAATACTGTCCAGTCACCATGTTTTTAATAATATTTTTTGTAAATAACACAACCTAGATATGCTATATTCAGTTGGAATTACTTTACGGCCCTATATCTCAATACTTAAGAAATTTAGGACCACATACTCAACAACACTCTTTATATTTGCATTCAAATATAAAACACTACTTGACTAGTAACAAACAATAATTTATATAAGGCTGTTGCCGACATAAATGATGACTATATTATTTCTAGGCACAATCAGCGTCATGTATCTGCTTACATTTGTAGCCGTGAAAGCTTTCGGATGGGGTATAAACATACCCGATTGGCATTCGATACTTTACATAAAACCTACGTTCCCAGCTCTCAGTGGTATGCTGTCCCTAAGCTACTTTATCCACAACATAATCGTCTCTATAATGAAGACTAATAAGCACCAGCACCATAACGTCAGTGTATATGTCCCTTGTGTTTGGAAGACTTTACAACTTTTATTTTTTTAGGGGCGGGATCTCAGCATAGCGTTCGGCTTGATAACGTTTACTTATCTATTCATAGGGGTCCTGTTTTACATAAGTTTCCCGTTGGACAAATCTTGCATCGAAGACGTGAGTAACTTTTTTTTAACAACAATTTTTCGTTGATCTGGTTCACCCACATAATTACAATGTGAGGCAATGTTTCCCACCACATTGGCCACTACCAAGGAAGTTTCACCTTATTTATGCATTTATCATAAAGAACATCGCGAGAACATTACCCAGAGTAAATTTCCTTGATTCGTATATCTCAGCAATAATCCAACATACAAAAAAACACAACTTGAAGTCAGAATTTTAGTTCTTATTGGAGCATCAGAAGGAACTCCCAAATTTTTTACAACATATTTAATATTTAGAATAGAATCAATGAATCAGTAACAGACGTAAAGAAATGGGTAATTGCTTCATGAGAGTTATGGTATTTTCAGCAAATGATATTTCGCAAGTTAAGTAACAGGTCTTATGAACTTGTAATTATTTGGTCTGTGCTGGCAGCTTTAAATGATCGGCGAAATTTGATTAGAAATTTTCAATCTCTTTGATTAAGTTAGGAATCTGGAATTCTTTGTAGGAACTTTGACCGTAATTTTCATATCTCATTTTCAGAACATTTTCAACAACTTTACGAAGCGAGACACATTGACGATAGTGGCCCGAATCTTGTTGATGTTCCAGCTGTTTACCGTATTTCCGCTGATAGCGTTCATGTTAAGAAATGACGTCCTGAGAAATATTAATGACATATTCAAGAACTACGGTTGGGGTGACTTCTCTTACGGAAAGGTTGCAGTCTTGAACGGGGTTGTTTTGTTTATTTGCGTGGTATTCGCGTGCGCCTTGCCCAAAATTGGCACCCTCATCAGGTAGGGATGGTTAATTTTAGTAGAATTTTTTGCCTTTAATGACACGTGTAGGTACACTGGTGCAATGAGTGGCATGGTCTACATTTTCATGTTGCCCAACCTGCTAAAGATGGCGAGTTTGAGGAAAGGGGGCGAGCTGACGTCGATCAAGGCATTCTGGCACGTTACTATAATTGTATTGGGTTCTCTAAACTTACTATCCCAGTTTTTTATTTCTGACTGACAATTTTATTTTGTTGTTTGACTATAAGCTATTTATGTGTGTATTTAGTTGACTGTTTTAGACTATTTTAATTCTTGAATAAGAATATTTTACAAACTTTAGTTTTATTTATCACTCCAAGGACGAATTAATAACTTCAGCTATTTTGGAGAGGTTCTGTCCTAGTAGTATCTGCTTGTGGTCTCCTGGCAGTTGAAGCAACTTTATCGGTTTGCTGCAGATCTGAAATCGACAAGAATAGAACAGTAGCCTGTGGAAGTTTCTTTGAAAAATTAACAAGCCTGGCAAGATGGTAAGATTACTCTGTACACTGACATTTTTGTCACTTTGTAGAGACCATAACGTTATCCCCAATTTTCTTAAAATATCCCATCACATCACAACCTCATCCGCTTATAAAATTCTTCGAAAGTCTAGTTTCGCTTTACTTCGAGAAAGAATTCATCATACCCGTAAGGAAATAGACCAAATCAATAAGGCTCTTCTGTCTCTACATCTTGAAATACCCAAAATCACATTCAGAAATTTGAAAAACTAAAGTCAACACTAGAAAAACCATCTAACTCTTCTAAACTACCAAATACTGTAATAAATGTGTCATCGCACCAACTTTCGGAAACTGAAAAATTAGTTCTTTCAAAAGGTTCCAACTTCGTCCTTGCGCCACGTATTATCCCAAAAGAGGAAATCAAAACCTTCCAAATCCAACATTGCGAAGCCTGTACGCATAGCCCAAAAATCTCTGAAATCCAATCCAGACATCGTGATCCTAAAAGCAGACAAAGGAAATGTTACGGTAGTCATGGAAACAAATGAATATTAGGAAAAGATTCAAGATATTCTTATAGACGGATCGTATCGTCAACTTAAAAAAGGTCCTACGCCATCTATGGATCGCAACCTTAAATCTGTTATTAAGGCTTTCTCTCTATCAGACTCCGTGAAAAAATCTGTTACCCCTCACGACTCTAAAATTCCTCGTCTCTACGGACTTCCAAAGATTCACAAACCAGGATTACCCCTTCAACCTATTGTCAGCACCATTGGTTCTCCAACATATTCTCTAGCAAAATATCTAGCTTCCTTATTAAAACCCCTTACAGAAGAAACTGATAGTTTTATACTTAGTTCCTTTCACTTCATTGAACAATTAAAAAGCATTAGATTAGATAAACAAGATATTCTAGTTAGTTTCGACGTAGTATCTCTCTTTACCAAAGTCCTATTCCTAAAACTCTCGACATCATTTCAGATACACTAAAATCCGAAAATCTGGAAACAAACATTCTCAGCCTAATTGAAAAAGGCTTGTCTGGAACATATTTTTCTTATAACGGTCAAATTTTTGAACAAACGTCGGGAACAGCTATGGGTGCTCCACTATCACCAGTCATCGCGAATATATATATGGAAGCCTTTGAACAGAAAGCTCTCGACACCTTTCATCTAAAACCAAAATTATGGAAACGCTACGTCGATGATACATTTGTTATTTGGCCTCGTGGTCAAGAAACCCTAGTAGATTTTCTTACAGGTTTAAACTCGATACACCCTAACATACGTTTTACCATTGAGATGGAAGCTAATAATAACCTGCCATTCTTAGATATTCTTATCAATAGAAAATCAGACCTAACATTGGGTCATTCTGTTTACAGAAAACCTACGCACACAGACCGATAACTTAATGCATGGTCACATCACCATCCGGCCCAAAAATTATCGGTTATCCTCTCTTGTTTACAGAACCGTAAACCTATCTCAGCCCGAGTCACTGAAAACAGAATTAAAACACCTTACCTCTGCTCTCCTCTCTAATAATTTCCACATTAAAGATATTAAACGTTCCATCAAAAATACACTTCACCACAAACTTCCAATAGCAATGTGGTCGAAAGCAATCCATCCTACACTTGCCACTGCGGTCCTTCCTTACATTCAAAACATCACTGACCATATAACAAAAGTTCTAAAGAAGTACAACGTCAAAACCAGATTTACCACTTGTCCAAAAGTCTCTCAACATCTGCGTCCGTGAAAGACAAAATTCCATTTGAGACGCCAGGAGTTTACAGCATTCCATGCATATGCGGCAAACAATGGAGAGACCGGACGAAAAATCAACTAGGCTCAAAGAACACGAAAGAGCCTTACGACTAAGACAAATAAATTAGCTGTTGCCGAACACACTCATGAAACCGGGCATAAAATTTTGTTTGATAAAACTAAAATTCTTGCATGTAATCAGTTCTTCTACCAACGAAAAATCCGAGAGTCAATGGAAATCTCTACCTGTCACCAATTTGGGAATCAGTCATCCTAGACGGTGTTTATACCAATCATTGGTTCCCCCCTTTCTCAAGCAATATATAAGCAGGTACAGAGCAAAATACGAGCCAGTTTCAGTCAAGCTCTGAAGAAGCCAACAGGATGATTGGCGAAACGTCAGCAATTTCGACTAAGCAAAAACCGACGCAGGAGGAATCCAAAAGTTTTGTAAAAAGCATTACAGTAACCTGTGGAAGTTTCTTTGAAAAAAAAAGAATAGAATTATCAAACGAATTATCTAAGTGCGTACCTTTTGAAGGTCATAATCAATTGGTGCTTCTAGCGTTTTGTTATCGGCTCTTATGAGGGTCGCTGAGCCGTCGAAGAAGGCATCTGGTTCGTAGTAATACGCTGCTTTTATACGATTGAAAAATCTATAATTAAACCATGGTCAGTATCCTGAAGCGTTGTCACTTTCCTTTTATACCTGTCGGCAGCGACTTCAACGTCGCGAGGGTCGTACTTTGTAGTGTCAGCAACCAGTTTCCCCACCAATGACAACATTTGTTGCCAAGAATGGGATTCGTCGGATAAATCGCCGATCTAAGATATAAAAAAAGTGTAAATAATCGTACTTAAGAATGGGATGATGATGATAAAAAGAGCATCAGCTTTGGCTTTCATTGAAATGTAAAATGTTTGCTGTTGCAGTTTTTATTCCAACTTCTGAGTAAAAAAACTAAAGATAAGTTCAGCACTTTTACTTTAGTTAAATCGGAAACTCAATCGACAACTGAAAACAAATGTTTTCGTGTACCTTTTATATTTAATTTTTTTTTTTGCGCCCCATTCTCCCATGTATTCGATAAAAAGATAAACAAATTTAATTTGATGGTTAAAACCTGCTTTAAAATTATTTGTAAATGTCTATTATACATAATCAAATGGTTCATTGGTGCTCTAGTTACCGGCTCATGGTTTTTTACAAAATTAAACCTTTTTTTTAAGATTTGGACGACATTGGACGTTGATTTTGTTGATGAAATTTTAACCTTTTCAATTAGTAGGGTTTTTCACAAAAGCTTACCTTTTCCTGATCCACCCCATGAAACGTGTGCAAAAACCCTTGCAAAACCTTGGTTCTCCTGTCCCGCTTTTCTGAATAGGTTTCCAGCGTTTTCCTCACGAAACTCGGAGTACCATCCAGGAAAAATATCTGAACCCGATCTCCGTGCATTTCCAGCTGCACCCCCACCTCGAAAGCGACGGCCCCGCCGAAAGAATAACCACACAAACTGTAAGGCCCCTGGCTTTGAATCTTTTTGATGTGGTGGGTAATATCTCGGGCGTAGCCCTTTAGATCGTCGATGGGCGACTCTCGGGTACATTGAAGACCGTAGACGTTAGCTTTCAAAATCCTAGCCAATGGTATCATGGCTTCCACGTGTCCTTCGATCGGATGAAGAAGGAATACTTTTTTCGTAAAGGATTTGTCGTTGATGATTTCAAGGATAGGCTGCGAGGACAACATTGCATTTATGGTACCGACCTCTGAACCGGCAATATCTTCAGCAGGTTGATTTTTCTCCTGCAGAAGAGAATTGATTTTGTTAACCGTGAGGTCGCGGATCTCCTCAGACGTCAACTCGATGTTAAAGTTTCGATAAATCGTTTGCTTAATTTCGGCGACCATCAGGGAGTCCAACCCGATCTGAGCTAGTGATACGTTTTTGTCAACGCTTTCTGGAATATATTGATAGGTAGAAAACGGAGAATCCGTGAGGTAATTGCTTACCGATATTTTTAATTCCTAATATGTGAACGATAGTTTCAGCCAGTGTTTTCCCCTCAGCCTCCTCCGATTTGGAGGTACGGTCTTTTCGCAGAAAACTGGCGCATATGACACTAGGTTGGAGCATAAATATTTCCAACGAGTTCATACAAGACGAAACCGTCTGAGATTCGATCCCCATGACGTCGAGAACCTATAAAATTATATATTATTATACTAAGAACCAAGCAAATCCACAAATCACAGTAAACATGTTTAATTTGCCCAACATTTCTGTACCTTCTGATAACTGGACACCTCAGCTACTGCTCCCACTTCTCCAATTACTCCCCATTGCACCGCCAGCGCTGGTAATCCATCCTCACGTCTCTGCTCGCACAGTCTTTCCAGGGCTGAGTTCGCCATCGCATAATTCGTCTGCCCGGGATTGCCGCGGCCGCACGCTAAAGAACTGAACACTACAAAATGCTCTAATTGGGGACACGACTTCCTGTAAAAAGTCTTTGTTAGAGTTCATCTAGTTCATTCGGAAAAACAGTACCTAGTAACCGCGTCCATGTTGGAACCAGATACGAATTTGGATTTGAAGACACTCGAATACTTGTTGGCAGTTTGGTTTACGAAGGCGCCGTCTTCAAGGACTAAAGCCATGTTGAATACCCCTGCAGAAGATAATAAATTTTGGCGATCGTAATTTGATTTCCTGTTCAACACTACCTCCAACGGGGCCCATGGACTCTGCGAATTTAACTAAGGCTTCAGTTCCCTGGATGGTGGTGCTGTCGTCGATGTTCAATCTAACGGTAACTCCATCGATTTCAGACCAACGCTTCAAACACAACGACTGGTACCCATTCGAGATACCCCTTCTGGAATTGAGCACGATTTTCTTCGCATTTCTCGAGATGAGGAAACTGACGAGCTCGAGGCCCACCCCACCCAAGCCGCCGATTATGATGAACGTTTTTTTGTGGTCAAAGTAGATTTTTGGTATTGCCTGAATGGTTCTGTGCAGATTCATTTGCTTCTCGTCTCGAATTTTTATAAGGATCTTCCCCTTGTGTTTCCCCGTGGCGAGATATCTATACGCGTCTTCTACCTTATGCTCGGAAAAGACTGTACTAGGCAGAGGCCGAACGACACCTTTGACAATTCCTAAAAGTAAAAACCTCTGGCTCTAGCATCAGGGAAGTATTTCCAAGATAATTCACCTTCGCGTAACAATTTCTGCACTTCCACCTTTAGGTAGCAATCCTCCGAGAACAAGTCATCGAGGAACACCGCGTGGAAGCTGTTATTCCTGCCGAACAAATTGGCGTTCATTGGGGTTCCTTCTTGAAGGTCGACTTTACCAATCTCCAAGAAGCGCCCGCGTCTACCCAAACACCGAAGGGAGGCGTGGTACAAGTCGGCGGAGAGCGAGTTGAGCACCAGGTCTACTCCTTTGCCCTGGGTGTTCCGTTTGACCATCAACTCGAAAGAGGAGTTCCTCGAATTGCCGATGTTTTGGATTTTTAAGTCGGGAAACATTTTGGCGAGATATTCCCTTTTTTCGGGCGTCCCCACAGTGGTGTAAACTTCGCAGTTCATGCTCAAAGCGATAGAGATGGCCGCCAGTCCTACGCCGCCCGTGCCAGCGTGGATTAAAATGGATTCGTTGGGTCGCATTTGTCCTCTCATTATCATGGCATAGTAGCACTTTTATTGGAAAAAATTTCAAACAATGAAAAAAGAGGAAAATGAAACTGGACTGGCAGGTCACGGATACAAAATTAAAGTTTTTTTAAGGAATAACCAGTATATTATTTTTAGGAATTAAGGCGTTTTAATTTATTAAATTAAGGATTTATTTTATTACATTTTTATATAATAAAAATGTATTTGGCGTTACCCGCTGACATTCTTATTTAGGACGCCCTATGCAATAATGCAAATTTAAATAGTTCTTCTAACGACGAATAGACAGATTAGTGTTCTAAAGTTTCAGATTTACTAGCGTTCTTCAGCTTTTGATTAATATTTAAATTTAAATAATTTTTAAATTTTGAAAATATTACAGTCTTGCCACGTTCTCTACATCGTAGAACTAATTGATTTTTCATAATTGTTTTGGACTTATTTATCTTAGAAAAGGTCTTGATTTTCTTTGTGGTCAACTCCCCAATTAAGTTTACACGTTATTGTATTACATTATTATTATAATTTGGTGTAATTTTTTGAAAGGGTGTTAACCACTTATTCTATTTAAGCTTGTAGGACATATATTTTCTAATAGTGTAAACGACCTTCAGACAGCTATCTTCCTGATTTAGGTATGCACCATACACAACAATAGTAAAATTATGACTCATGACCAGAGAGCTTGCTATATTAAACTTAGTTTTCCCATCTAAAAGGCCTCGATGAGGAATTAAATGCATCTACTACATTTCAAAAATTTTAATCAATATAGTAAATTCGACCTAAATAACATTCGATTTTTTTCGAAAGAATAATAGAAGATTTTTCTGCATTTGCATATACTAATCCTCAATAATAGCTTGAAAATGCATCCGCATATACTAATCCTCAATAATAGGTTGAATATCTTAGTTAATATTGCTTCTGAATTTGGCACTATTTTATCACCAGCTTTTGTATACTTACCGTAGCGTAAACTACTGGTACTGTGGCTGCCTCCTCCAACTTCCAAGAGTTGGGAACTTCCCAGGTAAACAGCGGATCCGTCATCACTTGCAACCCGATACTGTTTCCGGGAACGATACCCATAACTCTTTTACCACTCTCCGTGATACCAGAAAATTCTAAACCGACGGAGAGATTGGGAGCAGTGGGATCTTTCGATGGAGGATTCGATATTTTTCCCGTAGACACCATGACATCCTTAAAGTTCAGAGCGGAATAGACGACGTATGTTAACTCTGATGAAGAGAAGTATCTGAAAACGTTCGCTTAGAGTTTGCTTTCGTTGACATTACATACATACTTGTAATAATACGAAGGCCTCTCTGTCCAGCTAAACGTGGAAAGATCGCCAACTGTTTGTATCAAGTTGGAGGCGTGACTCACGTCGATTTGTTTCATTCTGTGGATAGGGAGGTGCCTGTAGCTACCCCAAACGCCTTTCCAGAGCACGTTAAATGTTAGATTTCTGCTCAATTGTTTCCGATAAAACTCGGAATTTGGGTTAAAGGGTTCGGCGTTTTTGTCCTTTATGAAAACACACTGGATCTTCACGTTTCCTAGTGGCTCCCGGATGAGGCACTTTACTAACCCAAGAATTCCAGACAAGTCATCATTTTGACTGTACAGGTATATGACTTCCTTTCTGTTCGCTTTTATAATCGACTTTGCTTCTTCTATCCAGTCGAATTGGTTGCTGACTTTCACCAAGGAATACGCAACCCCTTCCTTTACTTTTCTAAGCAAAAATAATCCTCTAGCTTTGCAACTATTGCAATATAGCAAGGTCATTCCAAACGAAGCCACGTCCTCTTCAAAACCATGGAATAAAACGAAACCACCTTCTTTGAGATTACCCAGCAGTGATTTATCAGTACAAGGGGAGGTAAAGATTAAAAAATCAACTTTTTTAAGTTTATCTTTGACAAAGTCCAGAGTTACCAGCGGTTGGAGCATAAGGACTTCTTCTACCTTGTCCCTGAAAGAGTTTTCTGAAGCTGACACGATTTCGCCAAAAGTGAAATTGAGGATTGGCTCCAATTCTATTATGATCTGGAAGACGATAGACAGGCTCTGCTCCAAGTTGATTTCGTTCTTTGTGGTGACAGTGTCGTAAGGCTCAAAAGTGAAGCTTTCCAAAACTGCGTCGTCTTTAACATGGCGCTTTGGAGCTCTAGTAGGCTCCATGTTTACGATTTCGATAGCTCCGGATTTGATAATCCGCAGATCTTTATCGAAGAATACTGAAATATCGCTTTCTTCATCAACGCATTGTGCGTGATTCAGAGGATCGATAACAATCTTTTGGATCCTGCTTGGAAGAAGAAGATCGGAAGAGGTTTCTGACAATAGTGACACTTGAAGCATAGTGTCCATGAAACTGGTGAAGGATTTATTCCAGTGCAATTTTCCCGTATAGCCTAGCACGTCTATTTCTTTAATTCCACGGAAGAATCCCCTGTACAGATATCGATTCATGTGCAAGAACTTATAGATGTCCTGGGTGTTCAGGGGTAGGTAACCGTTGGAAAAAATGGTAGGTTTATGGAGATCCGTGAATTCTGTAGAAGTGTTCTTCGAATAATGTATTTTTCCGGAACAACACACTGATCCGCCCTCGAAGATTTCAAAATATCCCGATTGTTTCATGAAGTTTATTAGAAAAGTGACGTCCTGGTTCGTCGGCAAGACTGTGGCGCGAGAGAATTTGACATTCTCAAACACCACCGGAAACTTCTCGAAGGTCTTCAAATGCATATTAGCTAGGACTCTCCATATCATTTCCTAAAATTACATAACTAAGCTCTTTAAAACGATTTAGCCGAATTTCTGGAGCGTACCAGGTATCCGGTTGCGGGCATCAGGACTCGTCCGTCGATATTGTGGCCCTCCAGATAAGAGTACTCACTTTCCGAAGTATTTATCCTAATCTCTTTTCCAAAATGATCTTTTACTTTAAAGAGCGGCGCGAACCTTGAGCAATTCCCGTAAGTCAATGTCTAGTTTCGTCGTCAAAACTCACCATTTAGCGCTGTGCTCCCATTTGATCAAGGAGCCTATGTTGCTGGTACCTTTTCCAACTGGAAATTTGATTTCGTCGTAAACTTGTCTTAGATTTGCCTGTCCTCCATTTATATAGAACCTGGTGACATATTAAGATGACTGTGTCACCTTGTATAAAAGAAACTTACTTTCCAATTGCTGATAGGAAAAACTGTTCATTATCTTGGCTGTTTCTATCAGCGAGGCTGATGTAAGAGATGTTGGGTCCCAATTCCCTTTTTAGAATCGACTGCAGTAAACCATGAGGACTGACTTCTATGACTACCGCATCACTCGGAATCTTTCCCAGCACCTGGTTAAATAACACGGTGTTGCTATAGTTGTTATAATGGTAAAACGCGTCGTTCATTTTCGCCTGGGGTTTGTCCCAATCCTTTTCAGGCCAGGAGCTAGAAATCCACCTCCCCGATCTTGGTTTGGGGTCCTTCAAAACCCCTTTGAGGAATTCCAAGAGAATCGGACCTACGTCGAGCATATACTTGGAATGGAAAGCGTATCCGCCGCTTTTAACTAATTTGGCAAAAATTCCAACTTCTGTTAATTTTTGAACGAACGTTTCAATGATCTCCATCGGTCCTGAAACTGTAACGCTACTGTTGCTGTTTACGCAGGCGATACACGTTCCTTCTGGTAGCATTTTTGAGCATTCTTCCTTGCTCAAACCTACGGCTGCCATTAAACCAAAACCAGTTTTCGATTGGTTGGCCGCGTAGCCACGAGCGAAACCTATGAGAGCTGCTTGCTCAGCGGTTATTTCTCCATCGCAATATGCACATCCTATAGGAAATGAATCATGACAACAAATGTAATGAGAACGGCAGTATATTAACGCACTTACCTACTTCGCCAAGCGAATGACCCGCAAACGCATCTGGTTCAATACCAAATGACTTAATTAAGTCTGTTAGGGCTACCTGCATCGACGATATACCAGCAAAGCAGTTCACAATATTATCGAAAATTGTAGAGTCGTCACTGGTGACGATGTGTTCCAGATCTACACCGTAAGGTTTCAGTACGGCTCCGCATCTCGTCAAAGTGTTCCGAAATACGTCGAACTTCATTAAGTCCTTACCCATCGACGCCCATTGGCAACCCATTCCGGTGTAGATAAACCATACCTGCCGGCGTTCTTTGCCAATTTTATTCACTTGTCGAACCGGATTATCACTCAAAACCGCGTATCCTCTGTAGTTGTGACCTTCGACGTCGATCTTGTGTATCTCATCCAGAAGAGCTAAGAATTCTGCATCGTCTTTTTGTTTTTCGATCTCATCGAGCATGTAATGTAGGCCTTCCTCCGTTCGTCCGGATACGTTTACCAATCTTTGGTTCGATGGTTTGAGTAATGACTTACGTTTAGGGTTCGATTTTAATACCAAATGTGCATTGGCACCACCGAAACCAAAACAGTTGAGAGCGACAACGCCCCCTTCCCATGGAATGTTTTGAGTAACTACCTTCAACTGTCCGGAACCTATTCCAGGCAATGTGTCGTCGATATTATCAGTATGAATATTTGCTGGGATAACCCCGGTCTCCATAGCTACTAAAACTTTCGTGATCGAGCATAATCCCGAAGATATTTCGGAATGTCCCATGTTGGTTTTCACAGCACCGACCGGTATCGGACTGTGTCTATCGCGACAGAAGAACTCCGTTACCGCTTTACATTCTTCCAAGTCTCCCGCAGGAGTACCAGTGCCGTGCATCTCTATGTAGGATACGTCACCCGGTTTAATGACTTTCGAGCTATAAATGTCTTGCATCAGCTTCAGTTGCATTTGGGAAGACGGATAAGTGAGCCCCTCGATTTTAAATCCATCGCTATTGGTCTGACCGCCTGGAATACATAGGGGTCCACATAGATTATTTTGTAAAAACCGTTTTTAAACATACCCAGAATTGTGGAATACATCCTTCGACATCGCGACTTCCTTTGCAAGAACATTGTGACGATGGCCTCTGACCTACCGTAGCCATCACGACCGACCCCAAACACCTTACACTTCCCATCGGGGGACATCATATTCAGCGATGTAAACTCCATAGCTTCGTGAGGATGGAAATTTATGTGAACGGCTAAAATGAAATGGGTTAATGCCAAAATTAATATTATCAGAAGCCAGCTAACAAGATACTAGGGCGGCGTCAATTTCACCACTCTCAATTGCTTTGAAAGCATTAACCATGGCGTAGAACCCAGACGAACATGCGGTGTCCAAAGCGTAACTTGGTCCCTTTAAGTCGAAATGGTACGAAGTTCTATTCGCTACTTGTCCCAAGCAGTAGCCGATCATAGTGTAGCCGTTGGTTTTTTCGACATCTTTAAAGCCTTGGCCGTTGTCGAACTGACCTATACCAACGTAAACACCAGTCTTGGATCCTCTGAGTTCTTTTGGGTTGTATCCAGAGTCCACTATAGCTTCGAAAGCGGTCTCGAGCATAATCCTTTGTCTAGGATCTGTGAGGTCAGCTTGTTTGGGATTGATTCCAAAAAAACCGGCATCAAACCGGTCGATATTGTTGATTTTTCCTGTTCTCGGGGGGGTGTTGTAAGTACCAGGAGGAAAGCGGCGATCGTCTACAGTAAGCAAGTCCTTTCCCGCAAGCAGAGCTTCTTTGAATTCGTTGAATGAGTCGCATTCCGGATATCGTCCGGCAATTCCTGATATTACTATTTCGTCTTCTTGGATCATTTTGGTGGACTAATGCGAGAGGGTATCTAAAATCATGAGTTCGCAATTACTAATAAATTATTTTCACCGTTGCCAACATAAAATAAAGGCCATATTAAAACTAAAACTAAGTTCTGAATTGTTTTTTCCCTAATTACTCTGGTTGTAGGAAAAAAGTTTGTAATAACAGAAAAGCAATGAATTGTAATTTGAAAGTTATTTACTAGTTAAGAGATTAAGAGAAGCAAAATTTGACATCGTCCTACATTGACATTTGATTGGTGGATTTTGGTGACACACTGTATATAAGTGATTGTTGAGACACCACAAGCGACGCTATATACCATAAAATCCAATCAGAGAGAGATCAATAGATCTCTTGATGAATTACGAAATTAAAACCGAATGCTTTGGTTTGGGCAAAACGGGTCTGCACTTGGGTTGCCTGTGAAGTAACGAAAAAGAACTACTTAAGGAGTAGTTAAAGCCGTTATGGTCTGTTCGTAGATATAAGAAAGTGAACGAATTATCCAAGGGTGGCCATTAACATACAATGCAACAAGATTATTATTATTAATTAAGGTAATAATTAATTAATTAATTATTAAATTTTAATTATTAATTAATAATAATAATCTTGTTGCATTGCATGTTAATGACCAGCCTTGGATAATCCGTCAAAAGCAATTGGTCACTTTCTTAAATCTATGAACAGACCATACCTGATGGAATTTTGGTGGTTGCATGAGAAAACTACAATACTTTGTCAAATGCATAATGAACGAACTGGTATAATTCGAGAAACTTATACTCGTATTCTAACGTGCGGCCCTGTCCTTGGTAGCTGTATTTACACCATCTATTACGTTATGCCTTCACACCTTCTCCCTCTTCTCCTGGGTACTCCTAAAGTACTGTGCCTTTTTCATGTAGAGTTTGAATAATTTCTTCTTAGAAGAGAGTGTACTGTCAGAATTCGCACATGCGACGCTCTGGGCCTCAATTCGGACGCCCGACTGGATGAGTACGAGCAGACCCTCCCTAATCTAATCCATTGATGGAATGAATGAATGAAATGATAGTGAAACGATCTAATTGAACGGAGACCAAGATTTTTTTATTGTGTTCTTTTATATGGAGAGCATTTGAAGGCTGGACCGCCGTTTATAAATATTGGATACATGAAGTGGAAGATGAGGGCTAGTACATTATTACAGTAAAGCGAATAATGTGTATTTTAATTTTAGTATAGATTTTTTAATATAATTATTAATTTAATTCATTAATTAATGTGTTTTTAATATATTCAAGAGTAACACATCTTTATGGCATAAAGAATTACCAATCGATTCGGTTTCTTATGGTTATTGAATATCAATATTCATCACCGAAAGAGATAAAAATTGAGTAAGCTTCCTTCGTACTCCGCTATTAAACTAAATTATTATTGAAAATAATGGATGTGGGAACTGGACTGGAGCTTACCTTCAAAACCGTTTCGGAATAACCACTGAACACCAGAAACAAATCCTCCAAACCAAAGTAGTTCATAGTAAAAGGTACAATAAAGTAAAATTGAAGGAAAACGACCTGACAAGAAACCAAAGAAAAATATTTTTTGTATACCGCTGCCACATAAATCTCCAGTTGGCCGTCATCGACGAGTAAACTAAGTAAAAACTATGAAGTTGTACTTCAATGAGACAATGGAAATATAATAATTTGATTGATTAAGTTTCATTTCCTGTGCATCAATTTCTTGAAATTGTGTGATCTTAAACGGCTGAGTACGTCTTATCTAAATATCCTTGTGTCAATATTAGAAAAACCATACCTTTTTGAGTATTTGGTGTATCAAAACAAGATTTGGTATAGACACAAAACACAAAAAGCCTACGGCATTACCATGTTAAGATTTTTGAATATATCTACGTGACATTCGATAACACCCTATACGAAATGTATAAAAAAAACACAAACTTTTTACTTACATCGTTAAGCTCACTCAATACCACATTGGCTTGCACTCGAAAGCAGACGGGTAAGGTATCCGCAGTCCTATTGGATGTTTTTTCAATGAAGAATTGCCCAAATGAACGGAAACAACGCTCGACGGTTCTTTTATATTAATTCAAACGAATTTTAAGTAGCCATTCAAATTTTCCTTCGATTGAATTTGCGTTTTGCATATCATTTCAGAGCGAAAAGCGACAAATGACATTTTTTACTATAAAAATCAAGGGACGCCCTTCGTCGGTATTTACAATTTTTGAACCATAGTTGAAGGAAAACAAGAGTGAACCTCGAGTTTTCTTTCGACCGAAAAATAACTGAATTGAATTTTGCATAAGTCGTTGTGAAGGTGCAGGGTGTAGGTGACATGGAACATTTTGATATCCGTTTTACATATAGTGCTGCATTTGCATAGAAACGCATTCGTGTGCTTTTCTATGCAATTGCGTCTCCCCGAAGCAGGATAATCGCCAAACGTAAACATGCAAATATATGACAAAAAAACTTAAATTTGCGTCAACAGAATCGAATGATTCGCGAGTATTATAACGGTGACCCGTCACATGAAAATATCGTCATCCTTGATTAAAGTAGGACGTGACTTGCCTTTGTAGACGGACAGTTGGCTACAGATGGATAGGGGTGACTCGCTAAATTAAAAATTTGATTATCTGCGTTTGGATCTGCAGGTTCGGTTGTTAATATATAGCTACCAGATATAAAGTCTTACTTTATAGATGTGTTAACTTTTTATTATTATGTACATCCTATACCGGTTATCCGAAAAGTATTATCTTAATTAAAATCTTAAGGTATTTTAAATAATTTGAGTTTTGTGAAAATGTATTCTAAATTTAATTTCTTAGATACATAGGCAGGATTTAAATAACATGGATTGTAACAATAGGCCGCATTTCATACGTCAATAATAGAAAGCTTACACATCCTATACAAAATGGTCAAACATTTATCTTAATTTAATATCAACTTCAACTGGCTATGACATGATTAGTTTAAATGAAAGACCATATTTTTTAACTTTCCGTGGAATGTACTTTTGAATTACCTTGCAAGAATACGTGAATTTAGTGTTTTTGGTGGAATTCGGTCTGTTCTAAATAAGTTTAATTTTATTATTTCTCGTTGGCAATGGAATTTGCAAAATGTCAGATAATATTGTAATTCATAATAAGACCTTTATTTTTTTTTTTTGTAATTTTATTGTACATCATGTGGATCTTATGTTTAATCCAAAAAAAAGAGTATTGATATGACTTTTATCCGTCCTTGGAGAATGCTACTAGTTAATTATCGCGGTTATTCTCACAGGTTTCTTGGAAGGAAACATCATCTCGTCATCTAGACGTTTCTAAAAGAATAATAAACCCCTTTAAGCAAAGTGGACGTACTAGTTATAAGAAAAAACAATACAACAGTAGTTTGTTAAAAACAACATTAGTCAAAAAAATATTTCGAGATTTCTTAATAAACCCAGATTTCCAAGAACTTTATAGAAATGATTTTGATAGCCGAAATGAATTCTGTACGTGGATGTGGATAAGATATTTATTTACATTTTATCAGAAACATTAATTTGCCGTATTCTACGAAAACGCGAAGAATTAGGTATTGAATAGGTAGAATAGGTATATAGGTCATCAAAACCATTCCATAATTGAAAAATATGTTCACTGGTACGTTAAAATATATGGTGTTTTATTTAAATTAACCACCGACCTTTTATAATTGATTTATGAGATATGCTCCATGATTACACTTTACTTTATATTTCGCTTACATAACTTAATAATGTATTCGAGAAATTAAAATTGAAATTCAATTGAAAGTGTGTAACCATGCCCATAATACCGGAACTTTTGAAGCGTCGATGAAAAAATATTGTGAGGGTCATTCAGTATGCGCATGCGCGGTCATTTGAAATCTCGTTTACCAATATTGTCAACAGATAAGTGTTTTCTAAAAATCTGATCTGGTCTCGTTTAATACTCTGGGAAATATCACTCAAGAAAGCACAAATTTGCTGATGGATATTGAAAATTTAACCAAAACCAACCAAATTTGAGGTGCCCCAACGGCATCAATAAAAAGCGCTTGGTTGCGTGGACTTTAATTATAACGGAAAATATAAATGCAAATTTAAGAATGAGGGTACTTTGGTAATACTAATAATATATTCAGTGTGGTTAATTTGGTGTGCAAAATATGGGATTTTTTTTTACTGCACAACAAAAACACTAATGTTGCCAAAAGTATATATATATATATATATATATATATATATATATATATATATATATATATATATATATATATATATATATATATATGTGTGTGTGTGTGTGTGTGTTTGTGTGTGTTTGTTTACTGTCTCTTCATTGACCATATATGAATTAAATATTATGCAATCCAATCCAATTTTTCAGGCAAAATATTTTTTTTTGGGACTTATATTAAATGGACTAAAATCTTGCTAAAAAATCCTACAGTTATTAATATATTATTAATGCAATAATTTAGACAGTGTTTTTTATCAGTTTTTAAACAATATTTATGTGATCATTAATATGTTTGTGGCAATTTTGTTCTTTTTTCATAAATTTTGTACTTTACTTTTGCGTTAAATCACTTAATTCTGAAAGTCAAACAAAAAAGTTTTGGCTTTTTAATGTTGCTTCATGTGCTGGGGCCATAGTGTCAAAAATATGAAACAACTGTTCTCTTAAGTATTATTTATTTAAGTTTATTCCATCCACATAAGTCAGGTTTTCAATTTGTGAGTTCGATAAAAAATATAAAATGGTAGTTACGCCGCTTGGGAATCCTAAATGTATTTTCCACGAACTTATTTTGAGCATTTTAGAAATAATTTTTTTTAGTGTCAATGTCCAATGGTTTCCGACTTATAACACCTTTATTTGGCCCCCTTGGATTTTTTTTTTCGTTTTGAAGGTTAAGAGGAATTTCAAAAAAATATAAAGTGGAATGTCTATATTTGCGATTTATGTACAGAGAGTATTGTCTGCTTATCGATAAAACTACACATTCATTTAGGTATATACAAAAAAGTGGAGTAAAAAAACATTATTTTTCGCGCCAAATTGTCTTATTCTCGACTAGAAGAAGGAGGTAACTAAACAGAAATAAGAATAAGAAAACCAAGCACGGCGGCACTCGATCCTTCGAGCCGCCTTGGGACGCCTCTAATCAACGTATCACAAAATATTGCCCGGAAATACAGAGCGTCGGTCACAATTTGGTCCGTTCAGTCTTGTCGTCGAGTATCGACGCCTCGCCTACTACGTCACTGTCTACGTTATCGTACCGACTAAATCGGTCGCGCTCCTGGTGACTTTTTAGGTCTTTCAAAAGTTCCGTCATGTTGCCGCTTTTCTGCGCGGAGTTGCCGAAACTTTGCCTAACCACGTCAGGTAAGGGTAGCTGGTAACCTTCGGCGAAGGTCTCGACAGATATCGTCAAAAATCTGGAAAAGTGATCGTCGGACTTGTGAACTTTCTGGCGATAATTGAGGACTTTGGTCCATATGTTGATTATATCGGTTTTGGTCACTTTGTGTTGCGGTTGGTGATCGACAACTTTGGCGAGGTGTCTTAGGATGTAGATTAAGGTGTCTTTTTTGGGAGTGTCTTCGATTATCGACCAGATTTTTCTTCGCGATAGGACATCCAAATCGACCTGTTTATTATCTGTAACAATAATAGAATACAGCAAAGAATAGCAAAAAATAAAATTAAAATAAAACGATAACGAATGTTAAGAATAACTGTTTTTCAAACAAAACCGGTCGATAAAAGGTAAAAAATATGGAACGAAGTATTAAAAAAAAAACAGAAATGAAGAAGGGCTAAGACAAATACAAAACATAAAGAGAGAAAAAATTTATGTCATATATATGATCCAAGAAAAAGTCGAAATTACACAGGTTTAGTGATTTTGATGTTTGAAAGCTGTACGCTTATTTCTATATTTTTGGGGGTCCTTTTTCCAAAAACCGCCATATTTTTGCTCTATCACGTCATTGTTTCATAGGGAGTTATATCTTAAAAATATTATTTTATTAATATGCATACCCATGACAGGAATATGTTTGTTCCATGTTAGGCATGATTTTTAAATGAATTGATTTTTATGACATTAAATGCGATTTGGCGACACTGGATAATATTAGATTTCACTGTAAAGCCACAGAGTTGGCGCAGAAGCATAACCTGCTTATGCGCAGTTTGGTTGTATTAATCGTCGTAGTACTGTGTATGTATTCCACGCTTATTTTGGTGTAAAAATTGGCGACCAATATAAGTCCCGGACTCCTCATAGTGTTTGTTCCATTTGCGCTGATGCATTTGGTGTTCCTATGGTATTCGACAGAAAAAATAAGAAATTGTATGGATACCTTCCGCCTCAAAAGAACTAGAAAACATCATATCGTCAGAATCGGAGGAATCTAATTCCGACCCAGATGACTCAGATTTCAGAGAGCCCGAAGCGTTTAACCAGAGCGAATTAAATGATTTAATTTGGTATTTGCATCCCAATTGTTAGCGTCCAGACTTTCCGTTACATATTCGGTACATTTAAAAGAAACGTATGAACATTTTGGACTTTTTTTGAAGAAAATAAACTATTAAGAACATCAGATGGTGCTTTGTGGTGACCTTAAAGTGCTGCTCCTAGGACAACAGGGGGGTTATACAAAATTTCCATGCTTTCTTTGTGAGTGGGATAGTCGGGCAAGAGATAGATATTGGACTCAAATAGAAAATGGGCTTCTAGAACAAGGAGGTATTTTTGTTGGGCCGCAGATAAGAACATTGATTTAAAAAAGTAATTCAATAGGTTTCTTGGGAACTCTAAAGACGAAAACTACGAAAGTATTGTTCAAAATATGTTTCATCATCTGGGTTGTAGTATAAATTAGCAAGTGCATATCCTGTTTTCATACTTGGACTATTTTCCTGAAAATCTTGGAGCAGTTAGCGAAGAATACGGATACTAAGGCAGATAGAGAATAATGATGATGGCGGACTATTGCTGGATGTTAAAACGGGATCCGCCCTTAAAAACATACAGCCAGACACAAAAGTCCGGCAAAAAGACGCAAATTTCACTAAAAAAAATCTGAGAAAAGCTTTTTTTCAAACTTTTGTTTAGCTAGGATTCCACTTTTTTACAGAATAAAAAAATAAATTATTTTAGAAATATCGTTATTTTCCTTTAATATTTGCAACAAAAAACCTTACGTAATGCATATAAATGCATCGAATTTTTGAAAGTAGCAGTTTTCAAAATAAAACCATCTGTCAAAAAGTTTAAATTTGTAGACTTGTATTAATAATTATGGATTTATATTTTTTTTGAACATCATTTAAAAAATACTAATTACATTTGTACTACAATACACTTGGCATCACTTGGATCTTGGCGAAACGTCTGCAAGATTCCAGTCGGAGTTTAACAAACGAGCAGATGATATCCCGGAATATATTGCCATTGTCAAATGACATCATTTTTACATGTAAATTCTTATAGGAAAATTGAAGATCTATCGCACTGAAAACTGAATTTTTGTCAAGGTACATTTGCTGGCTCCTCATAGAGAGGGTTAAAGGGATGAAAGAGGCTTAAAGGGTCAACGCCGGCCGCAAATGATCATTAGGGGTTGAAACAACATACACATTCTACGCAAATTTACATAAATCCAGTCTCAGCAAATGATTCTGAAAGAAATGAAATTGAAACGGAATTCGCTGAAAAGGGGAAGAGATACAAAACAACCCATGATCATCAGAAATTATAAACTTTAACGTCCTAAGTAATAAATATTTTCAGAGAAACAAACTACAATTACGTTAAACCTATTTATTAATAAAAATATAAATTTTAAATTAAATGAAAGAAATCTTGAGAAATACTTAGAACAGAATGTTCAAAAATTACAGCATGGTAGAAACAACGCCAATGAGCAGCCGATTCGAATGAAACTGAGGTAATACATTAGGTAAAACACTCACCACCAGAAATGAATAGTACTTGCTCCACCGCCTCTTTCGTAACGAGCACTTCGCCGGACTCCCTCAGGTATCGTTTCAACGCGTCCGTCAAGTCGTGAATATCGTTCTTATTCTTGTCGGTCTCCGAAAACTTCTTTTTCACGATCTTCTTCAAGATTTTATTTGACCGATCGACCGAGCCCGACTTCTTGTACAAGCCCTCGCTCTCGATACCGCTTTCGATCAGCTCTATCATTTTCCTCACTCCTTCGTCGACGCTGAGGCTGAGGTTGCTCGCGTCTGAAACAATAGCAAAGGCACAAGTGATATAGCGAAAGATCTGAGATTTTTACATGACGCTCTTGATTTTTATAGCTAAAAACCCGATTTTTATACCACCAATTTCATCTCATCCCTGTATTTCAAGGCTTAATAGGATACGATGTGCCTGAAACGGCTCCTCTAATCCTCATATCGCTGCTGGAACTCCGATCTGTAAGTGTTAGTGTAAGTGTAAGCCTGCACTACAGTACTTAGGCTTCAGCAGCTTCCTCCTTTATAGAGCACTCAGTTTTACATTAAGTTTAGTGTCTCCCTGATTATCGTAGGAGATGGATATGATTCGCCAAGCAAGCTTTACGCTTAAACGAAAGGTTAAATCATTTGCGGGATGTGTTCTACTGTCTCATCTTCTTGTTCACACACCCTGCACGTGGGGTTGCTGCTCAATATGAATTGGTGTTGATTGAGTAGGCAATGACTCGTAAAAATAGCTGTCGTGATACATAGTTTTTTTCGAATACTGTTTGGATGCTGTTTGGTTTGGATAGCTCAATCGCATTATAGCTAGCCAATATATCTTTTTGTCAGCCCATTGTTTGATAATTTGCTTCCGGGAGTTTCCTTTCTTTTAATAACTCACCAGACTGACAAAAGGCTCTGTTCTGCAGCCCTCCTGGCCAGGGCGGCATGATTTTCTCTGAAATGCCCGTGCCGTTTAATCCAATTAAAGACATTGTTGATTCTGCTATCTGTATTCATACAGTTTTACCACTCACTTTGCGCGTGGTGATTTCTTTTGCGGATATAATAATGCTAGCAAACTTCGTGTGGAACACGCTGGGCATATTACCGATAGCCATCATAATGTCAAGTTTGACGGATTTGGAGTACATTCCGTATCCGATCGTTTTTTTCACTTCGAACCATGTTAATTACGTCCGTCTCGTTGGTGCGTATATTCCTTCTGATGTTTGTCGTGTAGGGCTTGTTGAATGTATATTTTGGCACGCTAGAACTCCGATACTAGAATTGCTTTCAGCAAGTCAGTTACAGTTTGAATGTTTTAGATTCTCACAAGGATCCAAGTGAGGCTGAAGGGCCACATTAAACAAATTTGAAATTGTAAAAAACAAAAACAAAAAAACTAAGGACACCAAAAGACTGAAATGAACAAATGATCACATCTTCCCCTTCCGCGCCTCCAAGTACAGCACCTTCTTGCAATATAGAATTAAAATTAATTTTATATCTGTCAGATACTCCAATGTAGGTAAAAAGATACTACATAAAATATAGGTAATAAGGTATAAAAACAGGCAAACAGAATTAAGTTAGATTATAAAAACAGCCACTTAATAAAAGCTGAGTTAGTTTTATTTTAAATTTTTTGTCTCCTGATTAAATCACGAGACTTACCAGACGATTAAAGGGCTCAATAAGATGGAAGGAATTGCATTACTTATTCCAGCATTTAATATAAGTCTGTATTTGTTTCTTCTGACTGCTGCGCAGGAAGATTCCCAGAAGCAAACCCCGCACCTCAAAACACATGCTATTTTAGCATGAAATTTATAAGTTACTTTGTAGTTACTATTTGCCTTAAAATTCGTGAAAGACAACACGCAGAGTTGATTTTTGATAAATTGGCACAGGAAGGAAGAATTTTGGGAGAACCACTTGAATAATTTATCAAGACTTACATTTATTTTTACCTGATGTGGGATTTTATGTCAGCGCTACTTTGCCAGTTTCAAGAAAGAGTGGTTATCCTCTATATTCGCTATCACTGGCGAGGGCACTCAAATAGAGATAATAGAAGTTCGAGGTTTCAACACTGTCCCACGCATTCACAAAAATCTTACCTTTTCGCTGTCCTTTGGAAGAACTATCCGAACTACTGAAGCTGTCCTTCGACTCCTGCCTGAGCAGGGGACTTTTGGGTTCCAACGTATCGACGCCTCTGCTCAGGCTTGCCATTTCCCCCGGGTACCTGGCATAAAACCCGAGCAGAAAATCCACTAGCCTGGTCGCGTCCTGAGACTGAGTCACGATGTCTCTAGTATACTCGGGAGTGTGGTCGCCGTTATGACAGCCGAACACCATCGACGGCCCCCAGCAGACGGCCAAGTTGTACGCGTCCATTTTGTTTTCGTCTTTGTACTTTACGACTTCCAGCAGGTGTTTAAGCATAACCGACAAGGTGATTAAATTCGCGCGGCAGAGGTCGTTCACGAGTATCGATCGCAGTTTGTTCAAATCTTTCGTTCCTAGTTTACTTTGATCTAGTTCTGCGTTAAAAAAAAACATTAGAATTCGCATCGGACGATGAACGGGACGGAACCTTACTGGCAATTTCCAGCAACTTGTCCGAGACGTCTAACGGAATTAGAGGTTCCTTTAGTTCCCGGAAAAATAGTTTCAAACTACCGGTTAATACGTCCGGGTCCTTGGTGAATTGGCTCAGGATCTCCAGTCTGCCGTTGTCCACTTCGAAACGGATTTTTTGAATGGTGGCCAAGTTACCCGAGGTTCTGTATAGACCTAAAGTGACAACAGTATTTTTTTTATTTTCAACGACCTTGGATTCGACAAACAACAAACCGAATGGACCGTCAAAAACATTGAAACAGATAACCGAGAAAGCAGATCGCAGCTAACCAAACACGACAACTTGCGAAAGTCAAGCAACAGCAAACCGCAAACCGCATAATAAAAATGTTACTGATGTAAGAAATACTGTCCGGATATGAAAATCTTTGAACCAAACCAATGCACAACTAAGATCCCCTTGCTCCTCTACAGGATCGTATCACTTTTTTGGGTTTCCCTTTTCGTTTGCTTTACTCGAATCTACAGCGTTATATTGACTTTGGTTTCATTTGTATAAGTAGTATAGACAAACAACTTCACTGCTGTATTCATTTTATTTTTAATTGATTTCTATTTAAAATTAAATTAAAGGTAATGTGGATGTTCAGCTAACAAAATAGATATCTTATTTCACGTCCACTCTCTGATGTCCATTAGATGACCTACAAATGTCTATGGGACATACCATGTACTATGGCCACAGTACTTATTATATAGGTTTGGGTTATTTATCACGAAAAAATATCTATGTCCCACAAAATCAAAGGTTAATAATTTCAGTTATACCTACAGGGTGTTTCGTAAAAGATTGGCAATATTTAAACGGGACTCCCTATAATATTTATGCATATTACGATTTCACCTATATTTAAATGATATCGCGTTGTTTTTGAATTTTATTGAGATATTGTAAAAAAATAGATTTTTTAAATATGTTTTTCTATGTTCTATATGTGATATCTTTCAAACTGTTGCCTTTATAATATTAACAATCGGGGACCTTAATAGAGCCAAAGAATTTAGTCGAGAACCTAAGTAGAGCGATTTTTCAAAAGTTTTGCTAGCTTGACAGCTTTAAAGTGATTTTTCTCTATCGATTCGAAGTTTTTCCATAATACTAATTGTTATTAATCATTTACAAAAGCACGCTTGAACTTATCGCTATCTACTGAGCCCTGAATATAAAATATGGTTTACATTTACATTTTACAGTTAAACCGCTAATTTAATTTCCTTAAAAATATTCTTTTGTCGCTATTAAATAGCTTCGGTAAACCAAAGTTGAGAAATTGATCAATTATTGTTTCTGTTGCTAAATCAATTAATAGTAAATCAACTTAAACTGCTTTTTTTTTAATTATGACTAAGTACCTTCAATAATCCTAAGAACTTCTTATAGTCCAACACTTTTCTCGAAATCAGAGCCCAAATTTTGAAATTTTGAAAAAAGTTTTTTATTGTAATTCCTATCGGTTCTTCTCCTTAGAGGGTAAGTTTATCTTTATTTCGTTTTATATTTGGTTCTTTATCGGCTGATTTTAAATAAAAACAGACAATAGCCATTTCCTTTAATAACATAAACTACTTTAAATTTAAAATGTAAATGTATAGGGTTCACTAGATATCAATAAGCTAAGGCATTTTTACAAATAATAAATAAAAATGAATCTTACGGAATAACTTCATTGGATAGGTATAGAAAACAAAAATAGTAAAGAACACTGTAAAGAAAACATTAGTTTAAATTTTATCAAATCCGTAAGAGTTTAGAAAACCTCTGCCATATTTAAAGAAGGAACAATAGAGGCTTACGAAACATAGAAAACGGGCTGATGGTTTACGCGCACCTAACAACAGCAAGAAAAAGATTATAAATTACTACTAAAGTAAAAAAAAACTGCTGGAACCTTAAAAAAATGAATAAATAAGTTTATGATCTGTGAGAGACGAGGAGTAGTTTTGGGACTTACCAAGGCTCTTAATATTTTCCGGTCTCTCTATTAGTTCGATGGTCCTGTAAATGAACGTAGGGACTTCGGTGCCGCACTTTGAGTAAATATCACGCAGAGTATTGCCAAATATCGGTTCGTTTTTATAGATGCCTTTTTTCTCTAAAATCTCCCTGCTAGATCTCTTTCCTAATAGGAAAAAAATGAGCCCCTTCGATATACGTATAAAATTTTAAATAAATTACCCAAAAACCTAAGAAGGGTTTTCTTGATGGTAGTCTTGGACTCGTTGTTGAAGTAAATTTGAATTTTCTCGTTCTCCATAAACTCTTTGGCATATTTGAGCGAGTCGAAATAGAGTATGTATGCCAAGTTTGACGTATCTTTGAGCTCCACCTCTTTGTTTTTGTTCAAATATCTGGCACCCTTCAAAACGACGTTCTTCTTTATGAGTTCCTGAGTGTGTAAAGCTGAGATTAACAATTTCGCCATTGACAATGTTAGGAACTGTACCTTAGTTTTCATTTTGGAGTTGATTCTGTAGAAGATTTCGTTTTCGTACGCTATGTAGTCCTCATTTAGTTTTGTAATTATTTTTTGATTGGGCAGTTGAAATTTGACGAGTCCCCGTATCTCGAAATTTTTCGCATCATTTGGACTAAAAAATTTAAAACACACATGGAAAACCGTTTTGCTCTTTAATAGAAACAAAAAATTATATAAACGAAATAAAATATCTACTTAATTATGGGGCATTAGTAAATAGTAAAAAGGAGGCAATTTTATTTAATAAGAAATCTTGAAACTGTCGTTGATATCTATTACTTAGTCAAAGGTAAAACAAAAAACATGGACAAAAAAGGAGGAAGAACAAAAATAAAAAAAGAAAGATTCGAATTCGAAAGCAAATTGACGAATGAATGGAAAACGCAAAGTAATATTGAAGAAATAAAAATTAAAAGGATAAAATAATTTTAAAAGTGTGCTTTTATTTTTAGTTATAGTCCGATTTATTAGAAAAGATGTAGGTGAGTCATCGGTTCCTAGACAAAAAACATTTTAGAAGATCCTATATAAAAAAATGGCATTTTTTTGTCAATAACGAGGAAACGGGACAACCTGAATAAAAACATTTAACATTTTCGAATTCAAATTTTACTTATTTGTCAAAATAGAAAGGTTACGTAGCCTTGATTAATTTGCAGAGTTTTTACAAACGTCCTCTAGAGACAAAACGGAGTTTTTCATAAAATTAGCGCTCCAGAGACTAAAGTCAATTTTATTTTATCTCTTTACAAAAGAAGTCTTTCCCACCATGTCCCCAACCACCAACTTACCAACTAGTTCTACACTCCTCAAAAAATGTAAAAAAAAAAATAGAGAGCCGAAAAGAAAGGGACAGTGAAAGAGAAAGTGAGAGAAACAGATCAATTATACCTTTTTCTAGATTTATTTATTTTTTTCTGTAATATACCTTGTGAGCCTGCGGCGTCTAAAATCAAAATCGGTAGTTTTCGACACGCGATTCTTCTGAATAGATGGTTTTCTTCTAAACTCGATGTTCTCATCGTCTGCTACTGGAAATTTGTTATCCAACGGCTTGTCGAACTTGTCTTTCGTCGTTTGGTTGAACGATTTGAGGAGTTCCTGCGAAAAATCAATAAAAGCTCCTGAAATACGCGTCGCACCTCGTATAATGTAAAAGTATTTCCCACGAGATTTTTGTTGCAGACAATACGTGCATTGTTTCCACTAGAATTGACATACATTTTCTCCGAGTCTTGCGGAAAAGCTAGTCTAATCTAAAAATGGACTCGATTAGAAACGCCGTGCCATTAAAATCAATGGAACTCAGATCGGCGCGGTCTGCTTCATTTAACAATGACCGTAAAACGGAACGGCTTTCGGAAGAGTTTGGCTATGATTTGGAGCACATTAAAATATAGCGAGTGCACAATAACAATGTTCTAACAAAAATTTGTAGGTAATTTCGTTTAGCACATTTTAACACGACGCAGAAAAATTTTGAACTCTCATCTTTGAGATTTTATTCAACTGTTCTGTATCATAGTTCCGTTTTATGTTCTGCAATCATAATAATAATAATAATAATAATAATAATAATAATAATAATAATAATAATAATAATAAATAATAAAATACAAAGGAATCAGCTAATGGCCTAGAAGTCGATGCTGTGAAAAAAAAAATAATAATAATAATAATAATAATAATAATATACTTTATTCTGGTAATTTCGACAAGGAAAATTGCAAGAAAGGGCAAGAGTGCAATTTTAGTTGCAATTTCGTTAATAACTTAATTACGTAACAGAAACAAAAACCTAAACCTACCTCTGTAAATAAAAAAAACTATTAGCTAAAGTCGAGGCTAAAGTACTGTAAGTACCACAAATTTTTAAAGAACTCTAGCAGTGCACAGTGATTTGATTCTTCCTGCGTTCTGTAACTTCTAGATGTTTTTTTTTTAACCACTAGCTCCGCTGGTGTCAAATAAATTTGTGATTCAAATGCCATTTACCGCAATTGTTGCATAATATTCTATATTGTTGCATTCTGAAAGGAATGGGGCAGGTCATTATGTAGTTTAGCCAGATCGGTGACAAATTGAATGACCCCTTTAAATCTTAGATCTAAGCTATTCACGTATGTTCTAAAAGTTATTTTTTCGGAGAGGTAAATAAACCTCAGGCAGCATTTTTGAATCTTTTCAATACGTTGTGACGAATTAGCAAACAAGGCCCATATACGACATCACAGTGATTAAACACGGAGAGAACAAGAGCATCGCATAAGGTTTTCTTAAGATTTCGAGTTAGAATATGCCCTGAGCTATATAACCCTTTTAAACGGCCAATAGCCCTTTGCATACAAGTAGAAATATACTTTTCAAAGTGAAGTTTTGTATCTAAGTGGAAGAGTAATATCGTTTATTTGTATGATTACTTCAGAAGCAAGACGCTTAACATCCAGCGGCCGACCAAAAAACATTACAGAAGATTTTTTTGGGTTTAAAAGCAAACCGTGATCTCTGGAAATTCTGTCGATTCGTTCAAGATCACGTTGATATTTTGGCACTCAAGCTGCAACCGAGAGGAGTCAAAAACATGGTAGAGCTGCTTGTCATCAGAGAACAGGAGCTAAAGTTGAGCCTTGAGGAACTCCGCTTCTTATGTCTAGGCAAACAGACTCGACCCCGTTCAGGACCACCTTTTGCTTTAGCCCTGTTAAGTAGTTATTAATTAAAGTTACGAATGCCTCTCCAAAACCTAAGTATTTAAGAATGGGTAGCAGAATATTGTGACAAATGGTATCAAAAGCCTTAGAACAATCGAGTAAAACCAACACAGTGCACTTAGCTTCATCAATACCTCTAATGATGTCATCTGTCATATTAAGAAGCGCTGTAGCACAACTCCTAAAACCTGCCTGTGTTTTGTCAATTACTTTCTCCTTTTCAACATAATTTGTAATTTGAGTGTGTAGGACACGTTCTATAACCTTGGATAATATTGGTAGGATGGGCCTTTCGTTACTAAACGACTAAGGGTTGCCAATCTTAGGAAGAGGGACAATATTAGCTACTTTCTAAAGAGAGGGAAAAACGGCAACAAAAAATGATAAAGTTAATACGGATTCCGTCATGACCAACCGCTCTAGTTTTAATTTGAGTGAGAAAGTGTGCAATTTGTGATTCTGAAACTATAGAGAACTGAAATTTATCTTGAGGATAAGGAGAATTCTCATAGTAGTCGATCATTGACGATGTTGAATTTGAGACTGGAATAGTTGATAGAATAGATGATAGTTGGTCAGGAATATTTTTTCCAGTGTTTTTTGTATTTTTTATCACATTTAAATCTTTTTCTTTATTGTTTAAAGAATGTTCTTTTTTCTCGCAATGGATCGCTTTGTTACTAAAGTTTCTAAGCACTCTATAATATTTTTTTATTATTGTACTTAAATTTGGATTTATTTCTGAATTTTATTAGAACGTTAGTGTTTTCAGTGATCCAAGGTAAGTGTTTCTTTTTAAAGGTCACCGTTTTTATTGATGCATAAGCATCCAATAGAATGTTCATACTTTCATTAAAGAAAGATAGTTTTGCATCAACAGAATTTAAGTCAAACATAATTACGCCAAGGTATAGATTTTAGGGAATTGTCCAAAAAAATAATATCTACATTTTTAAAGTCTCTGTGCATAGTTGGCTCCACTCGATCTCTCCGCGCACTCAACTCAACATCCGCAATAATCAATTTGTGAGGCGAAATTTTGTCATCAATAGTGCCCGACCTAGTGACATTTATCTCTTCTGAAAATAATGGGTAATCCTTTTTACTGGTACATGTCTCTCTAATCGGCCCATCGATGATCTGCTCTAGCTCCAATGTATCTGAGAGATCCAGGTATGAACGAACTCCATACTCGCTTATGTGGAATAAATTTAAATTTATGTCCCCAAAACAGATTAAGTTATCAGTGTGTGGAAAAAGGTCTAGACATATACTTTCCAATTCATCAACAAATATATTTAGACTAAAATTTGTAGGCCTATAGAAACACCCAATTGTTAAATTTTTTGATTTATTTAGTTTTATTTTTACCCTGAGACATTCTACACAACTATCTAATTGTTTGAAGATTTTGTGGGAAATCATAATTTATTTTAAAATTATGATTGTGAATTAGTTATTTTAGTGTTTAGTGTTACTAAAATAAATAAGAACTAAAAGTTCGATTTTCATCAAGTAAAAACCATCTCAGTTCAATTTTAGTGTTATACCAGTTTTAACAGGAAAGGAATTCGGGCATAGTTCTCATTTGTATTACTGTGACTTGTAGGGTAGGTAATATCCATCACATTCAAAGTTTAATAGAATAATAATAAAATAATAATAACGAGTATTGACATCTGATTATTCCCAGCTTCAGATATCATCACACTTTAAAAAGTTTTTAAAAGAATTTGAAGCTAGCGGGAAAAACTTTCGATAGGTTCATATGAGAGAAAATCTTTCAGAATATAACTTTTTATTGACGCTCTATAGCTAACGTATTTATCGATAGGTCATTTAATTTTAGAATAGAATGAAAACGATTTGCGCAGTGAGTTTATTTTCAGAGTATCGTATTTTTGACATGCATTTCTTCGGTTTGATTGGTTTTGTATAAAGTTAGATTTTTCAATATTTTTCTTCTTTGGTTATGACTACTGATATTTTCAGGGTTATTGCAGGAAGACGACCGTTTCTATATAAAATATAAAATGCTGGATGTTAAAATTACATTTAGTTTGACAAAAAAGTAAATCGAAAAATATATTCGGGGTGAAACCACAATTGTAAAAAAATCACACAACTTACTCATGTGAAATTAGAAACTAAATAAAAAGTGGAAAAAAATCTATTATTCGGTCATTCTATAAGAAAATAATAAATAAACATTGTTAAAACCATGTAATTCCATTCCTGCGATATTTTGTCACGATCGTAATTCTACCAATTTGATCTTGATTTCAATTTAGAAATAAAATAATTGAAGAATAGTATCATCATTGGCTTATAACAAAAAATTGGATTTTTTGTATGCACTTTACTAAATGATAGTTTATAAACTGACCGAGAATGCACCTTCCATAGCTCTTATAGTTACCGAGATCTATAGAAGCATCCAAATTGGCCTGTACATCCACATATGTTTAGTTTAGCTTTTTATTGTTTGAAATTGTTTACATCAAAATTGCAAAATCAAACAATTTTTTCCATTTAAAAACTGCCCCGTAAGTCAGAAGTGGGATAAAAATGTTTCCAATTTTCTAACACCTGTAATCCCTCTAGATACGCTAACTTTTTTACAGGAGAACTATAGGCTATTTTATAAAATTATAAGGAATAAAATAGGAAATTCCATCCAGTTCAACAGAGTAGGTAAACTTTGTGCAAATACTTTTGGTCGTTATTGTAAATCTTAAGTTCACAAATTTCCTTTGTTGTCATTTTTGCCCATCTACCATTTTACCTGATCTATTTTGCCTCATTATTTCGGGAAATTACCACGACAGCCCAAATTCGGATGTTTTTGTCAAAATATCTTTAGGCTGATTAGTAGTAGAAAATATCGACCAGATATTACATGCAGCAAACATTGTTCTATGAAGTATACTCTGGAAGGTCGGCCTTTGGAGCTCTGTGGGCGTGCCGGAGAGCGGTAGGGGGCACTTGGGGCCTGGGGCCGAAGATCATGCAGTGGATCTACGGTACCATGGTGGTGCCTATGCTCACGCATGGGGCAGTGGCATGGTGGCCGGGGACCAAAAGAGCGGAAGCAAGGCTAGTTCTTGACAGACTGCAGAGATTGGCTTGCCTCTGCATAACCGGCGCCATGAGAACGGCGTCCACGAGGGCCCTGGAGGCTCTGGTGGGGCTGCCCTCTCTGGCGGATCAGGTGCAGATGGAGGCGGCCAGGACAGCTGTGAGGCTGGCGAGCTGCGGGCTCTGGAGGGAGGGAACCTTCAATCGGAGTCCGTACGACATTTTAGAGGGCTGTCGCGGGGATCGCGGGGTCATGATCATGCCGAGTGACGTCATGATCCCCGAGATGACCTTCTTTGATAAATTGACCTT